CCGATGGACAAAGTCATGTTAGGTGTTTCCCCTTTGTCTTCGGGAGCGGAAGTGGTCAGCTCAGCGTATCCAGCCGGCTCTGAGGAATGCGACGCCGCCACCTGGACATCAGGATGGCGGATATCCTCCAGTAATAGACAACACCACCTGTCTCTCTCTCTCTCACACACACACTCACACACGCTAGCAGCCTAATTGCTGTTGCGAGGGTGGCAAGGCCGTGTGAAGTTGAGACAATAGTCCCAGGAATGTCAGGAGGAGGGACCGTTTTATGTGGGAGTTTCAGTTGGAATTTGGCTTTTCTGTTAACATTTCCTTTGTTGACTCCCAGGTTTCTCTTGGGTGAGTCCCAGCATTCAGCGAAAGCTCTGGAAGCTACTAGGTTGATGAGAGTAAACATAGTTTGTAAAGACAATCTCTAAGCTAATACACGGCCCTATGAGGTCTGAAGTCGCGTCCGTCCGCGAGCTAGCTACACGACGAAATCGCTCAGTGAACGATTCAGCGCAGACGTCTGCGGCTGGACGAGGACGACTTCCCTTTCCCATAGTTGCACAGGAAAAAGCCTGAGGTGAGGTCGAAAACGAAAACGGTATGGGAATAAAGAGAAAGTAATTGATTTTTATGACCGATTCGTGTGTTGACAGCCTCCGCCCGCCTGCCGTCAGTCGGACGACCGGCGTGTGTGTGTGTGTGTGTGTGTTGGAATTATTTTGGAGATGTAATTTTGAAATATCCTTAGCAAGACGATACTGCTTTGCTGCTTTGATATGGCGGACTGCCGACAATATCGCTTTGGAAACTATACTGTGTACAACAGACTTTGCCTATTGTATGAATTCCAACATTTTCTCTAATTATTGAATAACAACAATCTATTGGAAATTAGGAACAATGTGTAACTCTGTTTCTTTGCTTCTTTCCATAAAACACTACCGGTACCCCGTTTCAATAATCCGATTTCGGTGGTTGGAATAAAATGCATGTTTACACGTTTGTACCAAATTGCATCAAAATCGGATTAGTTTTGCTCGAGTTATCGTGCCGGACACATATATCTAGCTAGAAACTTCGGTATATCGTAGTATTTGAAAGTATCAAATCGTGTTCCGCTCCACTGATTGGTTAGTCTGCAACAATATCAACAATAGAGTCACAGTCGCATCGCGTCCTGGGTCCAGGTTATCACAGAACGATAATGGACATGACGTGATTGGCATTCAAATGGGGCTGCGATCGACTTGATTGGAATAATCTTTACTTGACTCCTTCCAATTGCTAGTTTAGATTTACAAAACATTTCTAATAAATTTTTAATTGTGAACATTCCAAAAGTCTGCATTTTACTAAGGCATATACAGTATTTTATAGTATTTATCTGATGCCTATACGATTGAAAAAGGTTTATAATAATAAAATATTGAAGATAAAAACTTACCTCCATAAGAAAATATTTAGAAGACGACATTTGTTTTTGTGTTAGACAGACACTGAGATTTCTATCTTTATCAACATCTGATATTGTCTGAAAGCTGTATATAATACGAACTTAACGCGCAACACATATGTGTGTACTCTGCAGTATCACGGTAAACGAAGGCACTGTAACAGCAACTGTTTTGTACGGCGTGACCGGGCGTGACTTAATTATTGGTAATGATATTCAGTTAATATAGGTAATATCTGGAATACTTCTGGTATTGTAAAATGATAAATATATTGATTGATCTTACTATCACGCAGTTATCTACTTGATGTTAATAATTTGTCCGTTGTTGTGCATAATATACTGAAAAAAAAAACTCTCACGTCATTACCAGTTTTAAATAGCCATTTTTTATAACTGGATGTAAAAAATACATAAGAGGAAAACTACTGTAAACATGACCTACTGTCTCATAGTAAATCGTTTAAAAATGGGATGAGAAGTCTACTTGCGTTGGTTAGTCTATGGCTTAGCTATTCTCCAAAGTTCTCATAGGACAGTTTTATTTAAAAGTTAGTCGTTAACATTTCTTGTTATAAAATATAAAGAATTTTACATTAGTGCAGCTCCTGTTGAGCTGGAGAAACTTCGTTTGTTGTTAGGGACAGGATAAGTAGAGGCAAGGTATCGTTTGGGACTTGAAAAATCCTATGTTTTGATATATTGTTAATTGACGATTTTTGTTAAACTCAGATGTACGGAAATGAGCAATTTTAGAATAAAGAGTTATTATAAATTTATCGCAATACAGTAAATTAACAGTAAAATTTACTTCAGTGTAATTTAAATGTGTTACAAATTTCAATACAGTAGTACCTTTGACTATCCAATACTGTAGTCAATGACTTCATCTATGGCAGTAGCTTTGGAGCATCGGAGATGAACCGAACAACCTCAGTCATCACGTCATCACTCATCAAAGCCTTTGATTTGTTGGTTACAGTTCAATAGATTGCCACTACAAAGCGCTAGCGCTATGATCTCCACAATCTTCGCTACCGACATTATTACATTGCTATAAATGCTGTGTCAAAACTACTCTCCGCTTTCGATAGTCAGTACATGTAGCATAGCTTGCGCTTGCATATCCTTTCAACAGTTTGTAAATATTGCACCATAAATACTAAAAAAATAATCTTTTTACGTGTTTTATTCTTAACTTAACGTATTGATAAACATGTGTAAAACTACCAATATGGCAAACTTTTCTCATTTTGGTTACTTATCAGTTCAAATAATTTATGATAGTATACAGAACTGTAGGGATGCCTGAAGCTGGAATAAATTACCCTTCATTCCACAGCACAGTATTCTCAAACAAGGACCCACATATCTAAAATCATAGCAAATAATTACTTAAAAACTGTTGCATTTTTGAATGGTGTTCAAAAACCGTTTGGCGATTGTCTACTCATTTTATGTTTTAAACATCTATATTTGCATACACAATATATATTTTGCTCTCCTTTAGGTGTATAATGAACCCCTACTCAGTAGGTCCTTAGGCCTAGATAACAATTAATTAATCGCCTATTATACATAAAATATTTTCCAGGTACACCTGGAACAGAACGGAAATATTATACCAAGTTTGATTGAGTAACAGTAACAAATAAACATGAAACAAGAAGTATCACAAATGAAACCTGAATATTACTGTACTTTATAACAAAACAGAAGTTGTAGCGCCTTCATTACCTGTGACACTGCAAAGCTCACATAAACGTAATGCGTGTAACGTTAGTCATAGTAGGCTTATAGCCATTCGCAATAAAGAGTAGTAACATCGTTGTAAAGTATAATACCACTATAGATCAATAATTTTGGTGTCGGATCACTGATGGTATCACTAGATTGTGCTATTGCGGTTTTTCCATATCCGTCCGTTCTCATATAAATCGTTGAATAGAACTTTATTACAAAGCATTTATTGCATTCCAGCAATAAAACAGTAAAACAAAACCAACATGTAAATTGTTTCATAAAGTAGTGTCGAAAAATGTTGTTACACCATAAGTTGCAATATTTGAAAAATATAATTTTAAATAAGTCCTGCAAAATTAATTTAATGTCCATGAAATGTAGTAAAACACTGCGTCTACACAAAACAGGCAGGGGTAGAGTGTACCCTTAAGAGTTCATCATTCTTCAAAGAAAATAAAACTTGACAGTTAATTTAATCGACGTTTCCCAATATTTTTGAGAGAGAGTAAGTGGTTTATTTATTTCTTTGACTACAGTAATATGTTTTTCAACCCCACTTTTGTTGGCAACAAAGAAATCAATGGATGCTACATCTTTCCTTACCAGTTACTACGAGTACATCGTTAAAGATATAGCGTAGGTAAGGTTTGATAAAACGTTATAGTGGTTTTGATAATATGATTTAAAATAAATGGGATAAATTTTAAACCGTAAACATATACTCATATATATAACTTGTCTAGTCTATGATATTATACAACAAGTTTGTGGATAAATATCAACGAACATTTTAACAAGTTTAGTAGTTTAAGACCTGTTTAAACCCAGTTTTCAGTAAATACTAATGTGTACATACTAATGTGTAGTATGTATGCAAGTGATCGCGCTGAACAATGTTTATATGTAGTCGCAAATGTCGACGGCACGGCGTTCTGATGGTTTTCCAATATTATCATCTCCAGCCAGAAACTGGATTCTCCGTTCTTGTTCGATTTCAATAAATCTCACGTCAAGAATAAAGAACTCTCGCAATTAGATTTCACTCTGTAAGGAGTTGAAAAGTTACATAAGTAATCTCTTATCTGTGAACGAAAGTAGATATTAATCAATGATAAAATAATATTTTGGTAATAAATGTTATCATAGGGCACCACTAAACTTGATTGTTTTTTTGTTAGCTAAGGTTCATCGTTTTATTTTTTTCTAGTGGCTATCATGACTATGAAAAGTTACATAAGTAATCTCTTATCTGTAAACGAAAGTAGATATTAATCAATGTGAGATGTAGATCAATGTAGATATAGTCCGATTATGCTGGTTCGCGAACTCGTTCCAATAAATGTAGGTTTACACGTTTGTACCAAATTTCATCAAAATCTGATCATATTTGCTCACCCTAATATAAATCTAGTAGAGAAACCCCACAATTTAAGATGCAGTATTTTATACATCGATAGCAATACCAATGTAAAAACTTTGAATGCGGCATAACAATACACATCATCAATTAAGAAAGCATTTTTTATTATTTTCCATACGTATGCGTCCATAGAATACGTAAAAATATATATTTAGTGTCTAAGGGCCGTGTTACGATCAAACACATCGGTTTCGGATCTAGGACTCACCATAAATACCACGACAATTGCTACTTTAATAGAAAAAATCACTATATCTAAATACAGTAACTTGTCTAAGTCACCTAAAAGCCAACTTACATATGATGTCATTATAGATTTATGTAAAATGAAAAACTGGAACACCTCTGTTATCACTATAGCAATGATAAGGTCAACACAGTCTCTGAACAGTATCAGTGTGCTATGTACTCTATGCTAGTGCCAGTGTGTGTCAACCAACCAATGCTGCTTCATGCCTACGTTAGAACTTTGTGAGTCCTCCCTGGTTTTACAGCAATAATTATAGCTTAGTGATTTACATTTACTAAATATGTGTAAGGTTTAAAGCTCAGTAGCCTCCGTAGGAAAACACACGTTTGTTTTGATTTTGTATGTTAGCGACTGTCCTTTTGAATGCAAATTGTTTAACCACTCACATTTGTGTATTAGGAAAAAAATGAAAGAATTCGTTAAAAGTTAGTTTATTAATATTTATAAAATATTGCAGCCTTGTAGTTGATTACATCACTATCAAATACACTAGCGGCGAAATTGCAGTACCAAATAACATGGATGCCAGCAGTGCCAACAGTTGTATTACGGATAGCTGACATGTATAGTCGATCCACATTAATGTATCACTCCAATGTATTAAACATTCCTGATTCTTGGAATTATGCACGATCAAGCGTTTTAAAAACAATGCTCAAATGCTTATTGTCAAATACAGTCTCCCTTAAAAGAGTCTTCCGTAGTGGAAGCCATGTTGGATTTCTTCCCCATAAGAACAATGTTAGAATTGCATCATTTGTGGACACGTAACGGCGTTATTTGTTAAGATATAGCTTTGAAATTTATAATTTGTATTTTTAACATAATAGACTCGTGACTGAGGTTTTTGAATTTCGAAAATCCATTTTCATTTCCTTTCAATAATTAGCTTAATTTTAAGCTAATTAATAATCAATTATTCATTATAAAAATTAAAAATTGTGAAATAAAAAACGTCAATCTCTGGAGGACCGCAATTCCTTAAATTTAACTCCTTATCCATAATTATATGACAATTTGCTGATGAGATATTTGGACCCAAAGTTAACATTGTTCTTATGGGGAAGAAATCCAACATAGCTTCCACTACGGAAGACTCAAAAATACGGGAAATGGTTCTATGGGTCAAAATAAAGAGAAAATGATGAATTAAACTTTTACAAAATAGCTTTGTTAATAATATATGCACCAATTTGTATTTTTCACGTATATACAGTATTTAAATTTTTAATTAGTTTGTTCGAACAGATCTTTATGAAACTTGCTATTTATATCAAGGTAAAAGAAACCTTTGTTACCAAAAGTTAATTTTGTCCATTTCAAAATTCAAAATGGTGCCCATTAACGTTTTTATAAATTACATTAGGCATAATGCCGCAACCCCTAGCCTGAAGTAATGTGAAAAACAATCCCGGGCTCGTGCCTAGCGTCTTAGAAAAAAAAAACAAGAAAAAACTATGAACTGCCATGAAAAATATGAAGAACACTTTTATTTAGCATTTTTAATTTCCTATAAAATATCACGACTTTTAGTTCAAAGAAACCAAAATGAGGTGCAACCTGATTATGTAGCTTGCCCTTATTCCACCTCATTTTACAACAAAAATCGAGATATTTCAAATATTTCTTTATTTTTCATCTAGGGACTTACTGATGCTTATGCCTACTGATCTTTGGAAACACTGTGACATGGTTTGGATTCATAAATTGTGATTTTCAAACTACAAAAAATAATGATCTCATTTTAGATTTCACGCAAAAGGAGTATTTCGTAGTAAAGAAGACTAAATAGTTTTAATATGATGTAGTAAAAAAATACTTGGTTTGACAAATCTCAAAGCTATCTAGCTAACGCTCATTATAAAATAAGTATTTAGATCTGAGTACCTAACATGTGCCTAAGCCCTGTGTTAAGCTAATCATAATATATACATCAGATATGAAATATTGAAGTTAAAAATGTTCACTAACAAAGTTTATCATTTTGATTTGTAAACTTTAATAAAATTCCCATAGATTCTTTCATAAAGGTCGCCATCGTATTACTCAATAGATAAGAGGTGTAATAAATATATTTTCAAGGTTGAGAGACGATATTTTCATTGTTCTTGATAGCAAGCATACAGCTACGACAATGAACTATTAGTTTCCCCTAGAAAAGATTTAGAGGGAACTACTTTTTGGTTCAGTAATGTATTATTCAATTTTTAATAAATTCACCATAATAATTTATCATAATGTAATGATAAGGTTTCCTACAGAAAATAGTGGTTTGTGAATTTGTTATGACGTCGAATTTTTAGTGGTACATGAATTCTCTACCAAATTAATAGGCTACTCTATATTTTTATAATCATAAAAAAATATTAGAAACAAAATATTAGTTAGTTTTCAGTGTTTTAATGTGTTTTATTTTTTATTTTTAGGGTGACATTGATGAACTGAAACTCTTTATTCATGCTACTGCTTCTGTTGCTGAGTGTTTATATTCTGCCGAATGTCTACACAAAGCCTGTTCATCCCCTCAACCCTGTGGAACAACCCTCGGAATGCTACATCTTACCTCCGTCACGTATGTAATCAATCGTTAGCATCTATAGACAGCTATTTAAGCCCGTAATAGATCGATCGATATAAGCTACAGCTGGTCCATATAGGTTGAATGTCCACTCTATTTATTACGGTAATGTGTACGTCAACGGTGTCATAGTCAATTTAATCCATTTTACCTATCAGGAACCAATATAAAAAAATCCTTAACCATAAACATTTTTAGACGATTATATACTCTGGCTAAAGAGAACTAAGTCCTAAAACAGCCTCAGTCCAGTAGGGTTTCAGCTCTCTGGATTGGAACATCACGAAGAATAGAAAATAAGATTATAAAAAATTACTTCCTTAATGGATTTTACGGTTGGTATGGTTTGACGAATCTTGTATTTGGAAGATATCTTTGGGGTAGTCCTAAGGTAGAATTCAACCATTTAACGATGAGGTAACTTGCCAATGACCAAACTAAACAGTTAGGTACCTATGTTATTCTATTTTCATATCGTACAATATCATCCTTATATACCTTAAATTGGTAATAAATGATAATTTTTTCGATTGGACACTCAAATCATCATCAGACCCAATGATCGAGTTTTTTGATGGGATTAACCTGTTTCCGCAGCCCCCAAGGTGTACCACTGGACCCCAGAGAGCCCCGTCAACCTGTGGGAGCTGTCAGGGAGGTTCCAGGGAGACTTGGTGAGTCACCAGGTGGTGTCCCGGGGGGAGCGATGTGTCCTCAAGCAAGGTGTTGACTACTGGCCTGAGGCCGTCGTCCCTGTGTCCATCGGCCCTGGGTTCGGTAAGTAAAACAGATAAATAAATAGTAGTTGTAATCTGTATGAATACACATTTGTTAACAGTCGGATTGGTTTAGTTTCGTACTTGTTGAAATTGTATGCAATAGAGTATTAATATTCGGAAATTGTGTTTGAGTTTATATTATTACATTCTTATTACAGATACGATTTTATATAGATTTATTCTATATTAAAATATGTTTCAAATTGTCTGAGGCTAGATTTATTATTTACTAACAAAATAGTTGGCTCCAGATATACACCCTTCAATCAAATGTATTATTTTACTAAAGAGAATTTATCAACATGGTTTTCATTGAACATAAACCTGAAAAAGCAATATATATATACACAACCATCTATTCTAATTATCGGCATTTAACAATATTAAAATTATAATTAAAATATCGATATTAGTATTAAAACACCAATAATTAGAACAAAGTAACCAATACAAGTTTAATATTATATTTAGAATTCATTAGATTTTAAATATATTATTACGTTATTTTTTGTATTGAAACAATGGAAAGAACAACCTTTAGTGCTGTGGTACTTTGAATAGATTTTCAAATAGTCTTATTGGTAATTTAAATCTGTTGGGGTTATTATCCACAATTGCTTATCTTATAATTAGGTTTTATTTGACTATAGACCTACAAATATATTACCAAAGACTACAAAACTGTTCATTCAAAAATCTTTTTTTATTGCCTTCAATATAAAAAAGGTAAACTTCATTGAGAAAAGGCCTTGGAGAGAAATTGAGGACTACTTATAGAAATATTAAAAAATGGCTTAATGCCACATCATACCGCATTTTCATCAACAATGCTACTTGTACTTACCAAGAAATAGTGACAAATAACTTTACTTAATGCGTACGCACAAATATAAAAGCATAAAGTTATCGTTCAGTTAGGACTTCTTCGGCTTTTGTTGAGTATGAAATAACATAAAAAAAACTCTACGCCAACTCAAGCAATGTACAGATGATATCTAATCTTAAAAAGATGGTCACAGTTTTGATAGAGAAATAAAAAAAAAAACGCAGCAAATTTTGAAGATTGATTGTGTCCAAGCCAAAACATAGGTTGACCTAGTTAATTCTAAAAACTCTTTAATTTTTAGGGAACGATTACTTAACAAAACATATTACAAATAATCATAAATGTAATTCACAATATGTAAATATTTAAGCGAAAATATTGTGCTTATTAAAGCGTAGATTATTTGAACTGTTGCGAGTCACAGGAATTACCTTCAATGATTGAAGGATTGACTATATGACAAGTGGACGTAGCAAATCCTCTCTGGCTTACAGAGTAAGCATGTACACACGCTGTGATCACCGTAAGCCATATGACAGAGTTTGATCAGGTTATTACATCTGATAACAAGATGGCAAATTACAAATACAAATGATGCAATGACAAACTAGTGTGCATTGAAGTGAATACAATAACGATACAATCCGGATTTCTTAACACTTAGCTTTTACATGAAACATAAATTTTTACATATTTGTTTGTATTAACCTCAGAAGGATCAAGGAAAATGTTTGGGTTGTGTCAGGTCATATGGGAATTTTAAAAGGAGTATCAGTGATATTTAGCTATTCAAATTCTTTTGGAAAGGAAAAGAAGTGTTTGGTGGGTTGACATGGTCGCACAATGAAAATGCTTAGTAAATCCAAACAAAAACAATTACAAAGAAAAAAATAGTTCAACAAAACAACAAAACAAACATTTTTAAGCCTCTAATAATTTCGATTAAATTCATTATATCAATATTTATGGAATACTAGCAACAGTGCCCGTTGTGGTTAAATACAACGGTCTCTAGTAAAATAATGGTTATGAAATCCATACACCACTTTACTCACTAATATTATTGGTACAGTTTAAGCACGTAACATTAGAATCACACATTTAACATAAGGAACACACTTTAAACATAAATGCAAATTGTTAACAACAACATGAATCAAATAAAAATTAATTAGATAACAATATAACAATAAGCTGTTGAATTATTAACACATGTTTCGTATGATTAGATTATGCATACTGGTAAACCAATTATTGCCATCTATAAAAATATCTAATTGGTTTTTCTTTTCCGAGTTGGGTTAGTTCTTCTACCCGACCGATTCTCATAATTTTGGCCTTAAACTAAAGGTATGGACAGATTTGCCATCAAGCATCGGCATTCATTTTGACGTATATTTCGAGTTATGCACAAACTGCCTCCCTGTACATTTCTTATGGGAGATAAATTTGTTTTTTTTTCGAGTTCAATGTTTTGCAGGCGGGTGATGGTTTACAGGAGGGCTCTTCTACCTGCCCGATTTTCATAATTTTGGTCTTAAAATAAAGCTATGCATGCACATATTTGTCATCAAGCATCATTATTAATTTATCTAATGTATTACTCGACGAAAGTTTTTTTTTCTCTTCAATTAAAGATGTATTCCAGCAGTTCTAATTACATTATACATTTTGGTCTAAAAACCTTAAGTGAAATACCAGCTTTCATTTGAGCTATTGATTATTAAGATCGGACTACCTAAAGCACACTGCTGAATCACGAATCAACAATAAATACAATCGTTTTAGTACCTATCTGCAATCAATGTTACGTAACCCTATTTTTATTTAAGTTATTTTATATGTCTTGGTCTTAAAATACTTCAAAGGCTTTCACTTGAGATATTGATAGTTTTAATCAGTTAAGTTCAAGATACTGTATCGCTCAATCAGAAAATATAAATTTGATTATATCTTGGATATGGAATTTAGTTTTAGATACATTTTACTTAATTCTAATTACGTTATTCTATTTGTTTTGACCTAAGAACCTTCATTGAAATACCAGCTTCCATTTCATTAAAGCACACATCTAAATCACGACCAACACAAATTGTTCAATAAATGGAGTTATTTATCATCGATTTATAGCCAAACGATCTTGCTTGCAACCTCAACAGTACTTTGATAATTATTTGGAAATCTTCACAAATTAGGCTATCCAATGACCTATTACTTATTAAATTGGTTCAGTAGAACTGTAGATTTAATTGTACAAAGTTTAACAACAACATCTTTAATTCAGTATTTTCTCACTACTATAAACCTGGAGGTTGCTTAACGTTTTTGCAAATAACTTTGAAACGGCGAGGAAATCGACCAAAGTGGAAGGTGATAATCTGAAAGAGAATAAAATTTCCTACAAATTACCATTATGAATTTCTTGAATATACTCAAAAAAGGCAGCCTAAAGTTGGCTACAAATATAAAATTGAAAATATAAACCTGGAATAAAAGGAGTTTTAAATGTATTATTTTTTATTTTTTATTTTTTTTACCTTAAATATCTAATAAAATCATACTTTCATAATTATTTGCAAATCTACACAAATTAGGCTTTCCAACGACCCATTAAGTAACAAAATCGGTCCGGTAGAAGTCTAGATTTAGTTGTACAAAGTTTAACAAAAATATATCTAATTCAGTATTTTCTCACCACTATAAATTTGGAGATCACTTAGATTATTGCCAATATCTTTTAAATGGAGGGGAAATCGACCAAAGTGAATGTGATATTCTGAAAGAGAATAAAATTTGCTACAAATAACTACTATGCAATTCTTGAAAATACTTAATAAAGGCAGCCAAAAGCTGGCTACGAATAAAATCTTGAAAACGGAAACTTGAAAAACCCAGTTTTTAATGTATTTTTGTTATTTTTAATTTTTCACCACAAATATTTAATAAAATCGTAATTTTATAATTATTTGCAAATCTACATCGTTTAGGCTTTGTAATGACTCATTAATTAACAAAATCGGTCCAGTAGAAGTCTAGATTTAGTTGTACAAAGTTTAACAAAAATATCCTAAACTCAATATTTTCTCATTACCATAAATTCGGAGGTTGCTTAGCTTTTTTGCAAATAACTTTTAAATGGTGAGGAAATCGACCAAAGTGGAAGGTGATATTCTGAAAGAGAATAAAATTTCCTACAAATTGATACCATGCACTTCATGGAAATATTCAAAAATGGCAGCTAAAAGTCACGCCCAAATAAAAAGTGTGAAAACACCGTTTTCAATGTATTTCTTATGGAAAACACATTTTATTTAATTTATCACCATAAATCATAACAAAAACAAACTTTCATAATTATTTGCAAATCTACACGACTTAAGCTTTCCAACGACCCATTAATTAATAAAATCGGTCCAGTAGAACTCTAGATTTAGTTGTACAAAGATTTTTAAAACTGAATTATATATAGAATAGATATTAATTTTAGGATTTAAAGATATGAACATTCTGAAGAAAGCTTTGCGGATAATCGAGGATAAGACGTGTATTCGCTTCCCACCTCGACAAGAGAACCACACGTCCTATGTGGAGCTGAAGGGAGACTTGGGCTATGGTGAGTGCTGGTCCTATCTTGGGAGGATCAGTGGCAACCAGACCCTCAGCTTAGGGGAAGGGTGAGTATGATGTAGGCTACAGTGTAGAGAGGACACTATCTGGGGCTGGAAAATACTACATGGGACTACGATTAAGAGTGTTTTGTAAAATCTTTGACTATGGATAATACTAGACTTACCATGGTTTTGGAATGAAAATGGACTACAGTGGACATAAGCCACAACAGAGTGTGCTGGTGTCATAGTTGACAAATGTTGTAAATAAACGTTTTAAACAAACATATATTGTTAACTACACCTCAGTAACAAAAACTAAGGGCTGTATGCTTTTAGCATTCACAGTTAATGACTCATTGAACCATGTTCTTTGGACTCACATTGGATACAGCTTGTCAAAGTGTATGGGATATCTACTTCAGTATCAAACATGTATATATATATAAAGTCCATTAGTTAATGGCAAAACACAAGTAAGTATTTTGTAAAAAGCCGTGGCGTATCCCAAGAAAAATAGGGACATAAAAGATATTGTCAGAGGGCTGAATGAATATACAGAATTAAGAATACACGGTGTAAAGGTAATTTAGTTAGAGAAAGATGATAGTAGGCCTATATAATGAAAGTGAAATAATTTGATATTGCATAATCATATCACAAAATTTAACTTGACATTCTTACATGGGACTAAATGTACACGTCTGTATCTCAGGTGTGTCAATCTTCACCACGCCCTGCATGAGATCTGCCACGCTCTAGGTCTGGTGCATCAACACAGCTCTCCTGACAGAGACGACTACATCAACATCCACTGGGAGAACATAGACCCAGGTATAGACGCAGACGTGGACGTATTTGCCAAACCTGCGTCCTTAATTATTACATAATCTGTCAAAAATAGAAAACAATGTATATCATTAATATCCATACCCCAACCTTGAATCACTAAATAAACATGTAACCTCAAAGGTCAATCAACTCTGATAGGAAGGGATAATTTCCTTGAGTTTAACTTTTTTACATTCTAGCCTAAACTATGATTAGAAAATAAAAATAACGCGTTATTCAAGAGGAGACGATAAGATTGTTTTGACTGAGATATTTTAGATTTTACCATGGATAAACCATAGTTCCTTATTAACCATTTTATCACAACTCTGCTGTACCTAAACCACGAGAATACAGTATATATATTCATCTGTTACAACTGATATGATCCCAGCAGCTGAAACAAAAGTTACTCGTCTAACGATTGGTTTTTCACAAGTTATTAATGTCACAAGGAGTTATGTGTGCCTTTGTAACTCCACTTAAGTGGCCTAAGTTAAAATTCTTCATGTGCATAGCAAAAAACAAGGATAGTTTTAAATATTTTCAATAATTGTGTGACCCTCCTTCTTCCCTTATTGGCAGGGGCCTCTTAGAAGTCCCTGGCTGTTATTATTATTATTTGAATATAATACTTGTGAAGCAGAACTGTTCGGATTATTTCACGGTGATTGACTTGCCTAACTTGTTCATTTCAGATTTCGTAGAATGGTTCGACAAGTACACCTGGGACGAGTATACGGACTTCGGTCTAGGCTACGACTACTACAGTGTCATGCATTACAGTGCCTACATCGCGTCCAGCAACGGCAAACCGACTCTGTCCGCAAAGGTTGTGGTCAAGTACAAACCCAATTTATATATACTGTAGTCTATTTATAGTAATGTGTGATAACAGCACAGTAACAACAATGCCCTCATTACTGCTTCGAGGATACTTTTTATTGCTACCGAACTAAATAGATATTTTACTTGGTAGAATTAAATAGCAGTGTTAACTACTGATGGGAAAATTGCCGGTACGATTCTGAGAAATGTCACTCACTAGGTGTTTGATGATTCGAAACTATACCCTACTGAACTTGACCATTCCCTTTTAATAAACAGTCCTGGCTAAAAGCATCATTCATAGTCAGTGTAGCTATCATTTCATCCTTTCAATATTCACCTCCAGTCATCCTCGTAAAATGTAATCTGATCTAATGAGAGAATTCTCTTCAGGACCCGGACGTGAAGATAGAACCACGCACGACGTTGAGTGAAAAGGATGTGCAGAAGCTGAACATGATGTACTGCAGCGACGGCGCGTACGCTAGACAGTTCAACTACAGGACGTTTGGTAACTAATTACTCTACATCAACAATCTACAGTAATGCTACGGAGTAGTGGCTTGTAATATAATTTTAATTACGACTATTGTAAATAGATTTTTTTTTAATTCAGCTTAAAGATGATGACAAGGTTTCAGTATAGTTGAGATATTCTGTAAGTTAAAGTGTACATCGACTTTATATCCCAGAACACTTAGACCCAGGAATTTATGTTTTCATGAATTATATTTTGCCTTTGACTTTGGAAATTGCTATGAAAGCCGAATAAGAAAACCAATAAAATTACTATTTTACTCTGAATCAAACTTGGTACCTACCAGATAAACATACATAGCATAATAGGCTACTTTGGCTTTGTAGTAGACAAAAAATGAGGTGTATAATATTGTGTATATTGTTCATAGTGCTTAGATTATATCTTGTATCAGTTCAAAATTAACTCTAGTAGTGTGCAATTAAGTGCTTTATAATCTAAAAAGGCCGAGGTTTGTTTTGCTGAATGACGTTAATCCCAGTTTCTTGAAATTAAACCTGGGAACATGACGCAATTAAAACACCCCTCATCGATTGAATGCTGAAGTATCAACTGAGCTTCAACCAAAGCTTCAATTGGCATTCATAAAGTATACAGGGTGATTGATATAAGTGTGCCAGCCGTTTTATTCGAAAACTATAAGAGATATAAAAAAAAGTTAAATGGTAAGTGCCTTGGATTTTGTATTTAAAAAATTGTAGTCAAGTCAAAAAAATTATTTTAGCCGCCATTTTTCCAATATGGCCACCAACTTTGATTTTTCTTATGGAATACCCTGTATTTTATGATGTATTCTGGTAGAATATGTAATTTTAAGACGATTTTATTCTTGTGATTTTTTTCATAAAACTAACCGTTTCAAAGATAATAATGGTTAGTTTTGAGATTTCTGCATGAGAAAGAGTTTCGATAAAGGCTTAAGCAAGCATGCCAGCTGTTTTATTCGAAAACCATTCAAAATTTCACAACTTTAACCATTATTATCTTTGAAACGGTTATGTTTATGAAAAAAATCACAAGAATAAAATTGTCTTAAAATTACGTTTTCTACCAGAATACATCATAAAATACAGGGTATTCCATAAGAAAAATCAAAGTTGGCGGCCATATTGGAAAAATGGCGGCTAAAATAATTTTTTCGACATTACTACAATTTTTTAAATAAAAAGTCCAAGGCACTTACCATTTAACTTTTTTTGATATCTCTTATGGTTTTCGAATAAAACGGCTGGCACACTTATATCAATCACCCTGTATTTCATTCCTCCATGTTTTCTGAGTTAATTAAAAGTTAAAGATAAGTTTTCAGGAAAGGGTTACGTGTTTTACGACATATTTACTTTGACCCCAATGTAGGAAAGTTGTAAGTGGAGAGTTATTTACACGTGGTGTGCGTATGTCGTATATAGGCCCGAAGCTCCAAATCACTTTAACCCGATCAGCTCGTCCGTGGCTAGGGACCAAAATGCAACCCTTTGAAAGCTTTGATCAAAGTTCTATCCCTAACCATCAAGTTTACGGCTTAGCATATCTTGATAAATCTGTAGTTTTCAGATTATATCATGTTTTGAGAATATTTGTTGCATTGAAGATTAGTAACAACAAATGAATTTGTCATTTGTAGTAAATTATACATTTCCCAAATAAAAGATCGTGCAAATTCTGCTTAAAAAGGTATTTTTAGAGATTTTAATTCACATAGTTGATCAATTTATATTTGTATCACACGTAATGTTCAGGGAACAAAATAAACTTTTTGCCAACACTGCCTGAACCAAATTTGACTTTATTATATTTTCAATCGCATGATAAACACATTATTGAAAAAGAACAGCCACTAGGCACTGTAATGATTATATTCGTGTAACGTTATGTAAAAAGTTTCAATAGTATTCAATTATGATTGCGCGTTACTTCCTATGATTTCATACTATAATCAGTATTGGATCCACTTATAAATAGGATAATTAGGAGAACTACCCTAATAACAGGGTGACTATCCTAATTTTTTTTTGACGTATAAAAAAATAAAACCTCTGACAAAATGAAGCCTTATAGATGAAAACCTTTGTAAGTAATTATAAATGTAATTGCCGTAAATATAAAAAAATATGAATGTACCTACAGTTTTCTAATAAAACAATATTTTGATAATTTTTTAATATTTTGCAATTTATTCACCCTGTCCACCTCTCGCAGGAGGCTATGTCGTGGACCTGGTGGATGACTTGTCGCCCTTCACACGTCACATGATCATTCTGCTGACCGCCATCTGGCTCCTTCTGGTGACGTCACTGGCAGGCAACTGGCTGTTCTCCAGACTTCTTGTCAGGAAGACTGTCCCAGACACAGACAACCCAGAAGACGGGGGAGATCCGGAAGATGGGATGGGAAAAAATATTTTCTTGGAAAAAGAAGTCATATTGGAACAGGTGTTGACCAAACCAGATACAAAAAAGATTTTGAGGTTAGTGGAATGTGAGAAGGTAAATGAGTCATCTAATAGGATGTCAATGGGAAAGGAAATGGAAGAGTCGCAGGGTCAGGAGTTGACAAATACCAAAATAAGGAATGATATAGCCAAGGATGTAAAGGTGCCAAGAAATGAAGGGGATGCAAATATCGAAGACCAGAGGGTTCCGGAAGAAGTGATGAGGGAAAACGTATATCATGCTGAAGAGACGGTAAATAGCGAAATAAAAACCAAGGGGAAAGATATACTCAATGACGTAATGCTGCTCAAGGAGAAGGAAAATGAAAAATGTAAGGGAGAAGGAGACACTGTAAGAAATATAGATAACACTGGTGCGACTAAAGGAACAAGCGAGGAGAAAAGAAACAATAACGAAGAGAAGATGAAGAATGAGAGTATGATCAACGAAATTCAGATTGACTGTGAGAAAGTGGTTACAAATGTTGTGGAAAGTAACAGGAACAATGAAATTGATAATGATAATGTGGATAAGGAGAAGACCAATAATGAAATTACCATCAAAAAAGAAACGAAGATGGATGAGGTGGTGAAGATGGAAATCCTCAAAGCGATTCAGATGGACAATGAGGACGTGACAATGAATTTGATTAACAGGGCTGAGGAGGTGGATATCAACAGGGACAAGATAGTCGAGAGTAAGAAAAGTACCCAAAAACATAAGATTAACCAGGAGGAAGTTAGGAGTGTTGAGAGCAAAGGTATTCAAATTGATAATGGGGAAGTAGTAAAACATGCTTTGGAAGGGACTAGTAGGGAGGATATTAAAATGGAGGATGGAGCCAAGTATGAGAAAACGTTGATGGATATGGTGAAGAGCAAGAAAGATAATATTGATGAGGAGGATGTGAGGGGCAAGTACGGCAATATGGAGACGCTGATTAACCTGGAGGAAGTAGTAACAAATAAGGGAGATACATCAATCAGGGAAAGTGTACGAGAAATGTGGGAAGGGTCTGAGGAGGAAGTAATGACGAAAATAAATGAAGAAGAAACCACCCAGATAGAAAAGATTGTAGTAAAGGAGAATATTGAGGAAAATGATAAGATGTCAGGGGAGGAGGAAGTGAAAATTGAAATTGTTATAAAGGAAGATGAGACTTTCAAGGCAGAAAGAGGAGAGGAAAAGACAACCGAGGACCTGGAAATGGTTATAGCAAAAGAGGATGAAAAGGCTAAGGAAGACGATATAATGATGAGGTATGGAGGTAGGATGAGAGAGAGTAAAAAATCTACAAAGGGAGGTTCAATAAAAAAGAACGACCGGGCCAAGAAGATACTAATTGAAAGAGGGAGGGAGAAGACAAGAGACGAAGATAGTACCAGAGAGGAACGAACAACCGAAAATAATATAAAAATAGGAAAGGGGGCAGGGTTATTTGAGGATAACAACATGGCCGAGGAAAGTGAGGTAGAAAGGTGGAATGAGGATAAACCAAAATACAATGACATAGTAAAGAATATTGGAGATAAGACCAAGGAAGAACGAGACGCCAAAAATAAAATATCAAAGATGGTAGAGTTTTTTGAGGATGGCGACAGGGCTAAGGCGAAAGATATAGAAATATGGGAGGAGGAAAAACCCAAATATAATGAGATAGTAAAGAATATGGGGACTACAAATAAACATCTGGATGTTGATGATAAAGAGATAACTAATATAAATGAAGCCGTAAAACCCCACGAATCTGGCAAAGAGGTTGGAACAAGAAAGGGAGGAGGATCTAAGAAAACGGACTGTGAGAATGTTGATAAAGTGTCGGTAAAGCGGAAGGATAGTACTAAAGATGTAGAGATTGGCACGGAAAAGTCGACGAACAATGAAAATGATACAAGAACACCACGGAGAAGGAGGCAAAAAAGGAAAACCTAAATTCGAAATGTAAAAGTCAATGGAAGAAGTGAATGAAGAAATAAATCGAGCAAGTTATGATGTGTCGTTTAAAAGCAAAATTATAAACGACAGTTAAAAATATTTCAGTTCACATAATTTCAAATTCTGTTAAGTAAGCTGGAGGTTAATTTTTTACAGTCATTGAGATTAAAAATATACTTACTGTTGAAAGTATTTCCATATCCATACAGCCAATTACACCACACACAAATTAATATAAGGCATAGAAAAAAAGTAAACGAAAGAACATGTTATTTGTAATGAGACATTTATGTATAGTGCAAGATATGGTATGGTTATACTGTTTATAATTTGTAAACCCACAATAAAACACACGAGTTTACATTTTACAGGTACATACTTTTAAAACTGTTATGTTCTGCTAATTAAATATTTACTGAAGCAAAACTCTAACCAGAGTCGTATTTAACCGTGATATTTTATGTTTTTAAGTTGTTATATTTATGTTTGTTATCTGATTTTTTATTATTTGTTTGATCCAGGTAATACTGAGTCTCTGTTGGAAATTGAAGATACAAGTTTAGTTTTATCAGCTTTAACAGCTTTAACAGAAGCTTTTATGAATTTATTTAATATCTTCCTTCAGTAGTATTCAATCCTGTTGATAATTATATTTGACAATATACGTTAAAAGAAATATTTTTACCCAAGAGTTCTTATTACTTGGTCCAATTTGCCAATATAAAATCATTTCCTGTCAATATAACTATAATCGACGTTAAAGTTGGTAAATTATGATTACCTTGTGATCGATTTCTGGTTCCCTATCAAGTACTATGGGAAAACCAGTAGACAAAAATGTTATCAACACCAGGAGTTGCGACAAGAATAGCATATTACAAATATCATAACGCCACGAACTAGGATGATTAAACTATTGAAAGATATTTGGTTTTGTATCGTGAGATAATACTCCTTTTGCTAACAGACTGGTTTGTTTGAATTACTATAACGGTACTTCAATAAATACAACAGTTTAGCAATAGTGTATTCAAAGTGATATGGGTTTATGAATTCGTTACATTAACAAATATATTCGCCTTTGTGTTTGGGTGGAGTTGTAAACTGTAATGCTTTTGTATAATAACCCAGTTAGTTGGTCATGCTATTTAATACACTTACAAACAAAACTTCTTTGAAACAATGATGAATTCAATGGAAATTGCAAAATTCGTTGCAACTAAAAATAGTTGAGAAGTAAATAACTATTCGAGCTGATAGTTAATGTATATTTATGGCTAATGACATTTTTTAAATACTAATACCCTACTTCTCTACAATATTGATAGTAAAATACGCTATGTTTATCTGTGTATATTTGGGGGATGCTGCTGAACTTACCGATTTCAGGTAATGTGAAGAAAACCTGAACAATTCTTATATTTAAGTACATTTTACAAGTAAATATAAATTAATCATTTCCAATTATACACTTTGCTAAATAGAATGGCTTGAGTAGTAAACAAAATAACAAACTCATAAGTCAAATGAATACGTAAATTAAGGTATAATACATTCATATGCACGTGTAATAATCTGCCTATGGAAAACAGGTACGTGGATTTCAATTGATGTATAAATGATTGAAATTCATGAAAAACAATAATAAAATAATATACATTCTGATAGCTATACTTAACTTTGTTGTATGTTATTAGATTAAGGACTGTTTACGTTTTTGGCGAGGGAAGACCCAGGCCCTCGTGAGTATGATTTAAATTGTAGGTATTTTGTGTTGTTCGAAAACATAAATTTGTGCCAAAACTATTTTTTTTATTATAGTTTATTCAGAGACATAAAGATAAGTCAGAGTGAAGTTTTACAAAGTAATACCTCTGTTATAGATGAAACACTAGAAAGACTTTCTTTGAACAGTAATTTTATCTTTGTTCTTAGTTATTGTGAAGGCGTCCCTTGAAACATTACGAGAAGGAAATGTTGATGGTTTAATGTTGTTAAGCTATGTCATTTTTATTATTAACCATTCTTTGTTAGCCGTAGCGTGAAGTACCGTTTCTCATAATCATTTTTTATAGTATGGTATAATTCAAATTTGTCCTAACTACATAGCTTGTCTTGCGGTTCAAATATAGTTTTTTTAAATCCACTACATATGTTTCGCCAAATATGGCATTTTCAAGTGGTTTATGGATACATTATATCCAAATTGGATAAGTTAAATTTTTTAGTTTTATAAAGTTGAACACAAAAATACATCGTAACACGCAAAGCATTGCAGCGTTCAGGTTAAGTGTTGTGGGCCTACATGTTTAATGTTTTATTCGTGCTACAATGTATACATTTTTGTCTTTAACTTTTTTTACAATTTAATGTGTCCAATTTGGATATAATGTTTATGTTAATCACTTCAAAATGCCATATTTGACGAAACATATGTAGTGGATTTAAAACACTTAATAATTGGAACTGCAAGACGAGGTATGTGTTTAGTCTATCTAAGTAGTTCAGGGGCTTCGAAATGGAATTTAATCCAAATTTGTGTTGAATAATATTTTTGAAAAAAACACCACATTGGAAAACTTAATATAGTACCGAATAACTGTTCCTGAACAATTGAGACAATAGTTTCGTTGCAGTTACACCCTAAACAGCTATATTGGTTGCCAATACCAATATACTGTTGCAGTAGTCTATGGCGACTGTGGTTGTTGTATAGTTAAGCAATGCGGCTACACTAGGACAGCTCAGACTAACCTTAATGCAACTGTTGTCCAGGCTTCTGCTTCATGTGGCTACTCTCTGATCCGGGTGATCAATCCTAGCAAGAGAATATCCCTTGGTACAGTTGACTACCGAGGTGGCTCAGACTAACCTTAATGCAACTGTTGTCCAGGCTTCTGCTTCATGTGGCTACTCTCTGATCCGGGTGATCAATCCTAGCAAGAGAATATCCCTTGGTACAGTTGACTACCGAGGTGGCTCAGACTAGCCTTAATGCAACTGTTGTCCAGGCTTCTGCTTCATGTGGCTACTCTCTGATCCGGGTGATCAATCCTAGCAAGAGAATATCCCTTGGTACAGTTGACTACCGAGGTGGCTCAGACTAACCTTAATGCAACTGTTGTCCAGGCTTCTGCTTCATGTGGCTACTCTCTGATCCGGGTGATCAATCCTAGCTAGAGAATATCCCTTGGTACAGTTGACTACCGAGGTGGCTCAGACTAACCTTAATACAACTGTTGTCCAGGCTTCTGCTTCATGTGGCTACTCTCTGATCCGGGTGATCAATCCTAGCAAGAGAATATCCCTTGGTACAGTTGACTACCGAGGTGGCTCAGACTAGCCTTAATGCAACTGTTGTCCAGGCTTCTGCTTCATGTGGCTACTCTCTGATCCGGGTGATCAATCCTAGCTAGAGAATATCCCTTGGTACAGTTGACTACCGAGGTGGCTCAGACTAACCCTAATGCAACTGTTGTGCAGGCTTCTGCTTCATGTGGCTACTCTCTGATCCGGGTGATCAATCCTAGCTAGAGAATATCCCTTGGTACAGTTGACTACCGAGGTGGCTCAGACTAACCTTAATGCAACTGTTGTCCAGGCTTCTGCTTCATGTGGCTACTCTCTGATCCGGGTGATCAACCCTAGCAAGAGAATATCCCTTGGTACAGTTGACTACCGAGGTGGCTCAGACTAACCTTAATGCAACTGTTGTCCAGGCTTCTGCTTCATGTCGCTACTCTCTGATCCGGGTGATCAATCCTAGCAAGAGAATATCCCTTGGTACAGTTGACTACCGAGGTGGCTCAGACTAACCTTAATGCAACTGTTGTCCAGGCTTCTGCTTCATGTGGCTACTCTCTGATCCGGGTGATCAATCCTAGCAAGAGAATATCCCTTGGTACAGTTGACTACCGAGGTGGCTAAAATCTAGACGATAATTCGTCCATTTTATCTGGGTACAAACAAAATTAAATATAGCTTGACCTAATACTGTTGTTAGGTTTAATATTAAAAGAAAAACATAAAAAGAAAAAGTAGTGTACAGCAAATTGGAAAAAAAGTGTAAAGCAGTTCAAATTGAAGTGAATATTTTAACCGAATAACTATAGCCATTTCTTACAGAAAATCGCAAATGACTCTTTAAAACAATTATTTGAATACCTTTTCCGAGAATATACTCGGAATACCTGAATACTTGAATACCTGCCCGTCCAAATTTTCCCACATTTTTTTACCTTCTTTTTACTCATTTACTCTCACTGATTTTAAAACCAAAAATATTAAGCTCGTGGCGGCAACGCAAGGTCATGAAAACAAGTTAGCAAAACAACGATGGCTATGCATACTTAACAGTAGATCAGCTGTTTGTTATTGCGGTACATAGTTTACTAGTGTTACCGCCTAACATTTAAATAGTAATTTTTGTGTAATGGCATATTACGTGCTATGGGGGACAGTATGTAAATGTGTAATTCGTAATATTATTCGTGCTTAAAGTATGTTAGCTGCACACGACAGACTATTCAATGACTTGTGATTAAGCCTTGTGTCTGTTGAACGCAGCAAAATTCCACTAAAATACTGATATACAAACTGAGCCAGTAAAATAAAAACTCTCATCAGTTTTGTTCTGTTTTCGAAACATGCAGTTTCAGAATTCGACTAAGTAATTAAATGTTGTATCTGCAACCGAATTGTCGGTTAAGCCAACAGGTTTATTATTGGTTAATGCAATGAGCAGGTTATTAATTAAAGACAGAGTTTGATGGAAAATTGTATAAGCCTTGGAAATAAATGAAATTGCCGGAAATAACTGCATCCAAAACTGCCAGACCCGTAAACCGAGGGATAAAAACGACAATTTTCTTGACTGGATATTCCACAATCAGTGCCCTCATCCAAAACACTTTACTAGTTTTTAGTTACTAAGTTACTGGATACTGTAATAATGTCATTTTAAAAAGTTTGAATTTTTTGATCTACTTTGGAAGATTATATACTTTGACTGGTGTGTATAGAGCAGATAAATGCATCCTTTCAATATCCGACTACAGCCTGAGGCTTATAATGTCATGCTGAGAACATGAAACTGAATGCCATCCGTTCGTCAGAGATGAATATATAAGTATATATTTTTCTGAAATATATTGTGCTATTAACATCGTCTTGAAAGCTGACGATATCATATTTAAATAACTTAAACAGGCAAATAAAAACACTGTTCTGTGTAATCTTCAACATATTATAATAATGTATACGGTTAAATATTGACTTTATCGCCATAGTACTTTTAACTAATATAGTTAATACAAACTTATAATATTACCTCCACAAGTACACTAAGCAATCTAATTGATCTGCATGCCTAGAGGTCTGCATTGTATGGAGATTAGGATTGGACACTCCAATCATAATCAGACCCAATAGCCAGATACAAGCAATAGTCAGATCAGGGTATGATTGGAGACTTATTGCACTCTTACTCCACTTACCATAACTAGAATATACTTGACATCACGTATATGAAGAAGGTTATACAAGTAAACTAGAGACACTTAATTGTAGTAGAGCACTTATATCTTTTGTAGGTTATTAATAAGTTACTTTTAGCTCTTTTTTATTTGCAAAATGTTTGACTAAATGTATAAAAAAATCTTAAATGTTTTTTTCTTGTCCTTCGATAGGGCAACGGTACGTCATTGTGTGATTATATTATCTAGCACGTAATAATAGCAATTTAATCGCCTTGAACCACATAAGTAATCTGATTTAAAATTACACATTTTAACGCCAAACAACAGATTTATAACTACTGTTCCTGGGAGTAACTAGTTTTACACAACAGTTTTATATCCTGTAACATTACCTTTCGCAAATGCTAGGGTTCCATTAGATCAATTAATTGCCAATGCTATTAACCCATTTGCTCAACCCATTTGCAGTAAAGATGATTGATTGAACACGTGGACGCCACCCTTAAACGTTTACTTCAATTCAATACCTCTTTAGTATCTTATCAATTTAAGTTTAATCTGATGATACGTGCAATTTCAATACCTAATACCTTAGTTTAAATATAATTATATTATGTTTTATTTAAAAAAAAAAATTCCGTGAATCCTTAGGTGAAAACAATATTGACAACTAGTTGGTTTTCAACATACCGTTCTTTTATTAAATGTATCTTTACTTATGTTTTATTTTAGTTAACTTTATATTATCCAAGGTAGTCTACGATGGAGTTCATTTCATTGCTGTCGTCCTCTTCGTCCTTCTTGGCAATCTTGGGACAGTTGTACATGGTGTTTAGTTTAGCAATGTCTTTGTCACTGAGGGTCTTCCGTTGTCCGATCTTGGCCTTCTTGTCCTGAAACGAGAGGATCAGTTACTGGGAGTTGGGAGTGTCACTGTCGGACAACCACGGGGCGAGGAAGCCGAGGGGTACCAGGGGGGCTAGGGGGGACAGGCTGCCCCCGGGGATTTGTGACTCCCCACGACATGGATACATGATTCGCAGCTTGGCGATATCTTTCTGGCTCAACTGCTCGGATTGGCGTAGAGTAACATTTGCCACCTGTAATTACTTATCATTACTTACTGACTTTCCTTAAAGTAGACAACAACAGTTAAGTCAACAAGTAAGTGATAAGTGTTAGACAGTTAATTTCCAATGAAAAAAGAAAGTTACATTCTTTATGCACACACATAGATGTAGTATTAAGGAGCAACACCAGTTTTATTATGGTCATATTCATACGGGACAGGGTGTGATTGGTGACTAATCGGGATGGATATTCACTTTCCATATTTACACAAACACCGGCATGCAAAATCATATGATTGGTAAAATAATAACCACGACTATCTCCATTAACCTCCATTAACTATGGGAGACTGCAAATCTAGATATACTTCAACAAGAAAAGTGAGGTGTATTTTAAAGCTAATCATAATCAAACATATTCTAGCAACGCTTAAGACTAACGTGAACAGAATATTACTATACAAAGGAAATTTTACAATTTTACATTGAATGTAAGATCAATATGTTTCCAAGATTAGTCTAATAATAATCTACACGTTATCAAATGGAAAATGGTATATAAAAAGCTGATGTTATTTTTTAATTTGTGAAATTTTGCATAAGGTTAGCCAAGTTACGAAAAGTTCCATACCAACATAAGCTCGCTAAGAAGCCGAAAAAGTTACACGTTGTGTTAAAATTACAGTAAACAGGATGTGAGAACTCGTTTCGAGAGGTTGGGCAACTAATCAACCCACTGAAGGAAGTTTTCCTTTGTTGTTTGTTCTTTTTCATTTCAGTTTTCAAACAGGTGATGTACACAAGGGAAACCTTAGGGAATTCTATTTACTTAAATGACACCTTTCATTCAGCATACTATGTTTACCTCCATAATAAGACTTATAAATGTAACAAATAAATATAAAATCTAATGTCTGTCAGTTCTGTAACACATCGTAAATAGTTAAAAACTTTAAGTGATTGTTGTTTTTAATTTAAGCCAAAATGTACACAGACAATAACACAATTTCATCAAACTACAAAATATCATAAGCGTTAACCGATAACAGTAAAGAATCCAAGAAATATATTGTAAACTTACAATCGTATGTAAAACAAATTTAATTTAAAATGGAAATAACAATAGCAAATCTGGATTAACTGCTATTTTCTAGGCCAAACATACACTGAACGTAATTAATTCATGTACGTGTTTTGCGACTATTGCATCGTAGCAATATGCTCTATATAAGTGCACCTGCACCAACTGTTCAACTATTTAACTACTTCAGCTGTTGGAATTACCTTTACAAACTGGAGCATTTATTTAGATAAATGTTTATTATATTAAAGGGGTATGTTGATCTTTTAGGACGGGGGTTTTATCCCATAAACTCTTGTTCTCCAGTATTTATCACATACCCTCACAGTTTATTTTTATTTTTGCAAACATACCAACAAAGCCAATAAGCTAAACTCTCAGATACTCACCTATCTACCTTAAATACCCTCAGATTGTCGCATAGTTTTACCTCCTGGTCAGTGCGTATTTATCGATGCATAATTTAAAGTGTAATAGATTAAAACTAAGTTGGATTACTGTTTTAATAAACTAGTACATAATCAAAGGCTTATTGAAGACAACCACTACGTTATAAAAGGAACCTGAAATACTGAAGACGCTATGTTTTGTAGGCTACGAGTATGGATAGAACAATCAAAGTTTGGCGTTGCATGCCGGGACTTTTACATTACTTTGTAAATTGCAACAGCAGATTACAACAACATGCACATGAGGTAAACTAGGTTCAAACCATATGCCATGATTTTGAATTTACATGAAATCGTATATTCAATGTAACTTACGTCAAACACATTGCCGATTAGTAAAATGTCATAATTAACTATTGAAGTGTAAACAAGTGTGAATATATTGGGATTGACGCATAATAAGCCACGTGACTCTTTGTAACGTGAACCAGATATCGAGACTTCTAGACCTACGGGTATGATGTAAAATTTCAAATTTGACGTAATGTTAAATGAGTGGAATTATGTGTTTACAATTGATTGTTACGTGTACAACAAGTATGAACTTATTTTAAAGTAGGTCAATGTAATGATAGTTAAAGTCCATAAGGAAGGTTTTCTTTAACATAGTCACCCAGTTTTAGACAGCAAATACCGTTTGTTGGCAGTAGAAAAATTACTTTATTGAAACAATAGACATGCATACAGGGCTGTTGGGCAATTTCTTGCAAAAGGGCCTTTATTTAAGGAAATTTGTGAATTATATGTATGATGGCACTCGTTTTTGAGATTTAAAACATCCTTACTAATTCTTGCTGTTAACACACTTTTGCATGACGATGTAGAATGCATAAACTCTATGATATGTCTAGGTTGTTGAGTGCTACTGACGCTACAGCCATCCTTATTACGGTCTTTAAGAGAGCGGAATAAATATTTAGGTAATTTCATAAATTTTTTGTTCGAAATGATGACTATACGTGCTATACGTGACTATACGATGACGTACGTAAGCAGTATTTAAAATCAGACGGTTATACACGGACTGTATACAACAACTCAGCCTACCTTGGGTGTTATGGTCATCTGGTCGTTGCGAGAGAAGGCGTAGGCGCTGTAGTGCATGATGCTCTCATAGTCGTAGCCCACCCCATGGTCAGTCACAGTGCTGGTGTTGTACTTGTCAAAGTTGTGTTTATGATCTGTAAATGAAATAAGATTTTAGGTTATGTACAAAACAAACAATACCTGTTGATCGTTATTTTAAGTGGTAACTAAATCTTTGCTTAACTAACTATGAAGTGTCTTTTGTTTCAAATATTTTTCTAATGAAAAGGTGATGTTGTTGATGTACTTGGTGACGTCATACACACCAGACTCGATGTTGTCCCAGTGGATGGTGACGTAGTCATCTCTATCGTGAGAGCTCTGCTGGTGGTGGAGTCCTAGCGCATGTAGAAACTCGTGCACAGCAACTCCGTGACGGACACACCTGGAATGTGTGTAATAACTACTGTAATTCTGTTGAATAATGTATGTTTTTCTAAATTATAATTTCAGATAGTCTCTAAGCTGGATTTTATAATAAGTTTTACCGATATATTAACTTTTACTACTAGTACCGAAAATGACATTTTCCCAGTGCTCGCTCAAGTTTAAAGTGTGAGGTAAAGCTCATCAACGTAAATGTTAAAAGTTAAAGATTATTGTGCAGTAAGCACGCACTAAAGATACAACAAAACTATCTTTTGCCTATTTCTGTCCACAATTAATTGTGCAATTGAAAAAAAGCTCATTTAATGGTAAAGAAACACGGTTGTGTGTAGTTGGTAGTAGCATTGATTATACACAGAATAGACTTCCCGTGTAATGTAAAAGTTTGAAGCCAAAAATGCGTGGTGCAATCTGTTGAAATTGTCTACCAACTAATGATCTGTGTATAGTCAATGGTAAAAGTAGAATTAATTGCAAGAAAGGGGAAATCAGCTGATCGTTTCCCCTTACTCTAATATAAGTTAGAGCTAGGAAAACAATTACTTGCTTCGATATCAGCTATCGAAAGTGGCTACTTTCAGTACTTAAAACTTAAAAACTTTATTTTTTAAGTGCATCACCAAAAGAATAAAAACAAAATCAAGTTAAGGATACAAAAATATAAAACATCCTAAGAGGAGTTTCATGTATTGTTTCAAAAGAACACTTCAATATGTATTATACGGATGACACGTATTTAACTGATAAAGCTACAATCGAAACTGAGGCTAGAGTACATGGCTTCATTAAATCAGTTACATGTATACTAATCAACGTATAGGTGATAACTGATTGTACCTTTAAAGGTACAAACATATCGTTAAGTATTTGTATATTTATAAATGATCATTTAAATATAAAATTAATAATATTCAATTTTACTTTTGTCAGGCATGATGGTTATATAAATCCACTGATCCATATTAGCAAGTATCTCATCCCAGCAAAGTATTAGGTCACTCTTGGTTAAACAACATACAAGCTGAACCAATCCTGTTTCTGTAGAACTTGTAACGGCTCTGGGCGGATGACCGGCGATATCCGTCTTCACTCAACTGTAAGCTTTACATCCCAACTTGTAATTAATGTGTTTCCGGACACAAGATTCAAACCTCAGGGCATGGTGATATCATTCATTCGAATGTAAATCTTCCCGTGTAAAAACTTAATAAATATCTGAATACCTTGAAATTAAAAATATAAATAATTTATCCAACAAATTAATTAATGATTGGTTTTTGAAAATGTCATTGTTAAAGGTTTTTTCGGGTATGATAGCCTAAATAAAAAAAAATAAATCTGTGTAGGTTTTATGTTTTACAGTTAGTTTTTTTACAAAGTCAAGTATCTAGTACAACTAGCAACTGGGCTACAGTATACTCAATTAAACAAATTATAAACTCATTAGTTGGACAATTAAAAATACATCAAAGATAAACTCGTAACGGTTTGAACGTATTATATGTTTTTACAAATTTTCAAGCTACATATATACCACAGTCTTTAAATTCTACTGAAAATGTTTTAGGAGTTTGACTATTTTAATGCCATTTAGCTTGTAAGCATTATCTTACTAACCTCGACATTTCATAAACTTATCACACCAATCTCTGGGTTGGTAACGATATTATGAAAGCAAACACTATGCATTCGAGCATCTCATATTTTTTCTAAACCTAAAGTAATATTTTCATCACAAGCATGCACTTGACAGCTTACTTCTCGCTAAGGTTGAGCGTCTGTCCTCCATCCTTCCTGCCCACGTAGGACCAGCAGCCGTCCCTGTCCCCTCTCACCACCACGTAGGCGTCATCCCCGTCCTTGTAGGGGCGGAACTGTATACACGTCTCTGACTCTATGTTCTTCACCGCTCCTCGAATGATCTTCCTATCTTCTTTATCTGGAGGAATTTCAAAATATAGTTTGTATTGTTTTAAAATCTATAGAAAATTAACACACTTGATTGTTTGGAATTAATGTTTGGTAATGGTATGTTTAGGTTACGCCTAAGGATTATTTAGACAATTTTACAAATTTTGAATTTCGCTCATTTTGAAGTGATTCAGCAATATATAAAATGTGTATACCACATTTACTAGCGCAAATTTGTTTCATGCAATTACTGTTTGGACAGGAAGGTATGCAGGTTACCAAAGTCGTCAGTGTCTATGTAGTATGGCACCACCGCCCCGGGCCAGAGCTTTGCCTTGTCTTGCACCGCGTTCCTCCCTTCTCCATCACCCTCCATCATGATGTCTCCCTCGTACTGACCACTCAACTCCCAGATGTTCACCCGAGACTTGCTGGACCATGAGGAAAACGCCTGAGCTGCAACAAGAAATAACCCACTTGACCGTAATGGTAAACAGGTGTAATTTATCATTTCGTACACGTTTTACCATCCAGCAATTATTTTATAGTAGAGTAGATGTGCAGAATCCCTTTATAAATTAAAATAGGCTCAAAAATAAGCACAAAAATGAATTAAAAAGTTAAAAAAATACATAGGCTTTATGGGTTGCCAAGTTGGTGACGAATAAACAACAAAGTACAATCAGAAACAAATGGAAGAAATTCCATTCACATGTTTTATTTACAGCGTGGGGCGAAAATAGAGAAGTTTGCACAATACATACTTTTGGTCAAGTTTTCGACCATGGAGTGAGCTCTAGTTCATTAAAACTTGTGTAATCATTCTAATAGTATGTCACACCAAGAAAACCCATTCAAGGAACCCAACCCAAGTAGCTATCAGGTCAACCATGGAATCGTCATTTTATGTTAGATAGAGTTTATTTATGATTTTAGCAAATTTTTACTAGAAAGGAGAAGTAACCTTTCATTTTTAGAATGCAGTAGTTTTATTTGATACGCATAGGTATCGCCCTAGCAGTGATCCGTAGTTCACGACTGATTCCAAGTTATTTAAGATGGCTTTTGTTAAACTCCTTTAACCATATCTTCAACTTTAACAAAACTAAGTCAAGAATGAATTGGTTTTAATTTGAGCTTTAATTACAAATGAAAGAATATATTGAATGATTAATTCAGATGCTCAGAGCCCAGCTATTTTATTGTGTCTGACATAATTGACCTCTGAACCCAAACGACTGAGCACATCCCAGGTTTATAGGGTGTAAGTTTTACCCTCCCGAAGACACCACCTTTCATTTTAAATTTATTTTTGGTCCCACTGAAATACACCATTTAACGTGTTATATTATTTCAAGCAATAACACTTAGGAGTGTGTTGCATATGTTTAGTTAGTGAGCACAGAATGGTGACTTGACGTATCTACGTTCACATTGTCAAAGACTATTTGCCCTGTCACCCAACATGCATTCACTTCCACTCCACGACTTTACTCGATCCCTCTACCTATAAGAATACCAGAAATGTCAGATAAATATGATGGATCGATTATTTCAAAAGTCGCAAAACGCCATATTATTGTAGAGCTTATTCTTTTTATTTCAAACAATAAACCACAGGTTCCCAATAAAACCCCAAATAAACCTCAAGTGGCAATCCGCGTGAAAGTCTATTTATATGCACATATTCCAGGCTTCTTTAAGTGTATTGATTCAATAAATGTAGTACCATCGTTAAAGTAAAAGAGTTAGAACAAAACAGACGTTATTTAAAATCTATTGCCACTTATGTTTGGACTCCTTGTATCATCGGTAGTTTTTTAGCGAATTTCCCTATAGGGAAGTAGCTATTACCGTAGGTGGCAGCATGGTAAGACCTAGGCCCGGGACCGATTTACTTTTTCATTTTGATGTCCCCAGAGGCCAAAAACACCATTCGTTTAAATTTTTATATATGTATAAAATATTTATGTATTTTATATATACATATACAGGGTGAGTCTTCTAAGCTGTCCTAAACAGATTACAGACGAACGGCTTGACATACAGAGATGAAACAAAACTTTCCCCCACTAATTTATACCCAAGGAACAACGTAAAAATATTTTTACCATTTTTAAAATACAGGGTGTTCAAGAAACTGGGGGTCATGGGTTCGAATCTCAGAGTTTTCAAATGTAAACATATGTCATATCATGCATCATTTTTAATCTCTAGACTAGACAAACAATTTAGTGAAAACAGAACTCATTTATCTTTGTCCGTTTCAAAATGGCGGCCATTTTTATAGAAAATATTGATACTTACAGAATACTCTGTATCTTGAAAACCACTAAACTTATTTTCGTTCAGTTTGAAAATTCTTAATTAAGAATTTCAAGATACAGGGTATTCTGTAAGTATCAATATTTTCTATAAAAATGGCCGCCATTTTGAAACGGACAAAGATAAATGAGTTCTGTTTTCACTAAATTGTTTGTCTAGTCTAGAGCTTTAAAATGATGCATAATATGACATATGTTTACATTTGAAAACTCTGAGATTCGAACCCATGACCCCCAGTTTCTTGAACACCCTGTATTTTAAAAATGGTAAAAATATTTTTACGTTGTTCCTTGGGTATGAATTAGTGGGGAAAAGTTTTGTTTCATCTCTGTATGTCAAGCCATTCGTCTGTAATCTGTTTAGGACAGCTTAGAAGATTCACCCTGCATATATACAGGGTGTCCCTCGAGAGGTGTCTCAAATCGATTACTGGAAACGGCTTAACGTACAAGGATGAAATAAAATTATTTCCAACTAAATCGACCCCAAGGAATAACGTAAAAATATTTTTAACTTTTTTCAAATACAGGGTGTGCCAAAAACTGAGGGTCACTAGTTCGAATCTCGGATTTTTCAAATGTAAACATATGTCATGATATACATCATTTTAAAGGTATTTGATAGACAAACATTTTGGCGAAAACCAAAATTAGTTATCTTTTTCCGTTTCAAAATGGCGGCAGTTTTTTTGAAAGAAATCTATATTTTTTAATACTCTGTATTTCCTATACCAATGCATTTAGCACTTCTCCGGTTGCATTTTCTTACTCGTTATGAAATTAGCTTTACTGTGATATGCAACAAGTAACGGTTTTTTGAAATAATAAAAATTCCAAAAAAAATTATTTTTGAAAATTTGCAAATGCTCATTGTTCAAAATTTTCAAATAGCAACATATGTCAAGTGGCACATCATTTTATAGGTTTTTCAATTCCTAACAACTTTGTAATTTACACTTACTTCGTATCTCTTTTAGTTTTTGTGTAAATAACAAAAAACCTAATTTTCCTATATCAAATGCATGTTATTTGGGTTTGACATGGTTCAACACTAAATGAAAAGAAGCCTTTAGACACCTCTCGTGGGACACCCTGTATATATATATATATATATATATATATATATAAATAGATTTATATATATATAGATTTATATATATATGTGTCCGTGAACACGATAACTTGAGTAATTTTTGTCCGATTTTGATGAAATTTGGTTTGAAGGTGTAAGGCGGGATAAACTTGAATGAGTTCGCGAACCAGCATGATCGGACCATGAGAACAGGGTTTTAACGGGTGGTTTTATGGGGTAAAAATTGGATTTTCTAATTTTTTACCCTCTAAACACAAATTTTCCCAATTTCTCTCCGGACCTTTTTAAAGAGCTTAAAAAAAGAAATAATTCAGTATATCCAAGTGTTTTTGTACAATTATTGGTTACGGAGAAAATTCAAAAAAATGTTATTTTAAAATTCCCATGTTATTCTTATGGAGAATATTGTAAAATGTTGTAGTTTGCTCGTTTATGGATATATTTTAATCAAACTTGGTAAATTTATTTATTTTATACAAAGTTATTCATATTTTACCAAAAAATACACTTTTTTACCCTCCCTGTAGCACCAAGCCTAGGTACTCGTAAAACCTAATGTTAATTAAATACATTCAATTGAAAATCAATTCAGGCAAATGGAAATTCGCTTAGTCGGCAGGTTTGCTGCGGCAGGGGTATTATATTTTACTACCTTTTCGATAATCAATAAAATAAACTACAACCTGCTATTTTAGTGTCTTCCCGAATGTGGTACCTATGCATAAATGTTCGTAACTAATTAAATCAATTGAACAAGAATATTATTTTCATTATCGTCTATCAATAAGCTAACCATCAGTAAGTTAAGCCGAAATAAAAAATACATTACCGGATATTTTTGATTTTTTTTATATACAATTAGATCTTGCATAGCCCGATACGCATTTTTGCGACACCATGTACTTTTAAGTTTTCGTCCATGATTGATTTTGAGTTTATTTTAATTTACTTTCACACAACTGATTCCAGGAATCATGGTTTCTCAACTGACAATCTTGTTACAGTACCATACGTAGAGTACATAATACGAATTAAGGTTATTTTAGACCAACAAATGTAAAAAATAGAACATAAAATAAATTCAGATCAGATTAAGAAATCTTTTGGTAAGCTGACAGTTCGTTTTAAGATTAAAGTTCTAAATTACTGGTCTGACTTATTGACAAAACATTTATAGCTTGAGGCCTGAAGTCGTTCCCAGCAGTATATGCCCTATGGAATTAATCTGTATTCCTTCCTCTTCAGAAGTGAACACAGCTATCAAATCACGGAGTGTACAACATAATGCTGTCAATCACCCAACACTCACCCATGGCCGCAGCGGGAGCCTGTTTGCCAGTAGGGCCAACACATACTGTGGAGACGGTACTCACCCATGGCCGCAGCAGGAGCCTGTTTGCCAGCAGGGCCAACATACTGTGGAGGCGGTACTCACCCATGGCCGCAGCAGGAGCCTGTTTGCCAGTAGGGCCAACATACTGTGGAGACGGTACTCACCCATGGCCGCAGCAGGAGCCTGTTTGCCAGTAGGGCCAACATACTGTGGAGACGGTACTCACCCATGGCCGCAGCAGGAGCCTGTTTGCCAGCAGGGCCAACATACTGTGGAGGCGGTGGTTTGGTCTTGCTCTCAGCAGATACCAGCAACACACTCAGCACACTCAGTGCGATCAGCAGCGATGTACACATGTTGTAGGCCTACAGAGACACTGGCCAGCCTGGCCCACATACATACAATCACCCAATACTCACCCATGGCCGCAGCAGGAGCCTGTTTGCCAGTAGGGCCAACATACTGTGGAGACGGTACTCACCCATGGCCGCAGCAGGAGCCTGTTTGCCAGTAGGGCCAACATACTGTGGAGACGGTGGTTTGGTCTTGCACTCAGCAGATACCAGCAACACACTCAGCACACTCAGAGCGATCAGCAGCGATGTATACATGTTGTAGGCCTACAGAGACACTGGCCAGCCTGGCCCACATACATACAATCATCGGCCACTGATAACACTCATCAGCATGCAGAGAGGTCGCATATACACAGGTAGCCGCTGATAGTAGATACATGTGTAACTGTCACCCATGAATCATCCCACCGAGGCGAGACCAAATAAACACATGAACCAATCAATTGTCTGTGTAATTAATGCTGCTGTTGAATATAAAACAATTAATTTAATTATTGATAATATGTACCTTCATTTTCTATTCGTATGTTCAGAACATGTATAACCTAGCTCCTTTACGATCAAATGAATTGTGGGAATCAGCTATTAAACTGAAGTAAAGTAAAATAAAAATCTGTTTAATGTCAGGTTACCTTCACCAACCAACATTTATTAAATGTAAGAGATTTAAAAAAAAATAATGATTTCTACTTTGTTTTATTAATAATTTAAATTTAGAGCATTTTCATATTTAATTACCTTTCCTACAGTAATAATCCAAACATTATTGATAATTTACCATCCCTGTTTGTTACTTACTTTCGACTCGACGCCTAGACTGTAATATAAACACATTTATAAGTGTTGAATACGGAATTTAATCAAGCTCTGTCAGATTTTGTTGAATTTAACATGAGTAGTACTTATTAAACACAATCACATTAACGCTGAGTAACGTCCGAGCATCTAATCCTATGTATGACTGTAAGCAAGGGATCTGTTGTCGGACGCTTGTTGCATCTCTTTCGATAGTTTTGTGTACATTTTAGTTGTTTTATGGATATAAAGTAATAGCATTTCCACTAAAACATCAGTTAGTTAACTCCAAGAAAAGCTGTCAAATACTATTTAGAATGTTAATTTGACCTTTAAAGTTCTCTAAATTACTTTGAAACTCATTCTAATGCTGCTAGTTACGCAAGTATAGCTTCGAGAAGATTCAGTAAATTTCTGTACCATAATCCTACACATTCATTGCCGTTAAGAAATCCATGTTTAAAGGTTAGCCAGGTGTCGTTGAACACGAATATTTTAATTTTAAATATGAACAACATTTGCACGCACGCAGTATGAAATATAAATGTGTTATATTTTTAAATGTATACAACCATAGATTAAGCATATTCCCTAAGGGAGTATGCTTAATCTATGATACAACCAACTTATTTTGTAACCAAAAAATGCCCAAGTGCTTGAATTTATTGAAGTACTCAACTACTATGAGTGCAACAATTACTATCTTTTAAAATCTACAAAAAAGATACATCACTTACATGTTACATTATTTGTTCATGTAGCATGGAACCAACCCAGACCCGATTGTGCAGTTCTCATTGTCACTCAATGATGATACCTCGTAACTAGGCTCCCTTAACCTGTGAGAATTCCACCGCACTGAACACAACGTTTGGTTCCATGTTTCACGTAATGTTTATTCACATAGATAGATAAGATCTGAAGTACACAACGTCACCTCGAAGTGTTCCAGCGCCATCTAGTACCTGATATGGTGATACACTACTTCAATATTCAGGTAAGATACATCTGGCTTTAGCTTATCACTAGATTCGTCAAGTTTCTCAATTCTTGATATGTGTAACAAGATAATAATATTCAAACAGATAAATTCAAATCGTTGTTTCATACCGTGTGCTGTTCCTGGGTGACCTTGACATTTTACCCTGGCCTAGTTTTCATATAGGCTAGTTTAAAAATCACACTATAGTGAAAGTGTACTAGGCTGGATATCTTTCGTTGCCTTAAAAAATCGTTACCTTAGTGAAAATCTATAAAGTGACGCTTTCAATTTCAACTTTTTCTATTTTACCAATTTTGTATTATTTAAAAATAAATAAAATAGTGTTAAAGAATGAAGTGAGACGCATAGAATACCTATGTTAACGGTAACGACTGGCTGTTTCTTTAGAATAGTTAGTAATTATCAAGCATTCATTTAGAAACACTGAGAAATTATATAAGAGCTCCAGAGAGAGGGAGAGAGCTTAGACTCATATTACAGCGATTATATACCTAATGAGCTTCCCTATTTTGAAGATAAATTTGTTGCATGAAAGGTTGAACAGTATTATATTTACCTAATTAATTACGAGTTAAAAAGGACTCAAGAGCTTCAAGAATTTATAGAGCACCAAAGTTTATACACTTCAAAAATTGATGAAAAGCTGATTTAGGTAAAGTGTGTTTGTTTTGCTTTTGTACAGTAAATCCATAGTTTACTTTATGCATAAGGTAAAGTTGGTGAGTTTATTTGTTTTGTTGCTGAACACCTTTCATAAAAAACTCGTCTATATACTTTCCGTCTGCTAAGTAACTTTTGAAAGAAAGTATAAAGTAGGTCATGAACAGAAGAAGTATAGTTATTTACTTTCTCAATTTATAGACGAGCTAGATAAGTGACTTCTAGCTGGATTGTTGGTGCGGGGTCATAAAATCTTAAAGATTTGAGTGAGGAATGTGGCATTTAATAATTAAAAAACCCCCCTACCACCCCGAAATATATAGAAATCCCCATTTAATTTTTACGTATAATGTAGCCTACACTTTGTGTTATTGTGTTTTCTACTAAAAATGTACTAGGGACTTTAAACATCAAGTTTATTTATTGGTATTGTAATTTTATCTGTTTCTCTCAGTGAATCTATGAAACTTTTTGAGGAATTGTAACTCCCCCCCCCCCAAAATAAATCTAGAAAACCCAAATGTAATTTCTAATTGAAACTTTGCATAGTTTTTCGTGTTAGGTATTAAACTAAGGTCTGATACTTAAAAAGTTTCAACCTACATTATTATGCACAAAATTCAAAGTAAAAAATACATTAGAAAATTGGCACACGAAATACAAAAATACCATACAAGAACTTAGTATGCACGGATACCCATTTAATAACAACACTAATTGCTTGAAAATAAATCATCAATCACCAATAGTGATAGTAATATTGTCGTCAAAATTAGTCGAAATCAAACAGTATTTTGCCCCAACACCATCAGTTTCTAGCCACCTTAAAAAACTTAGCTACGGCTAAAAACCTTAGCCACATTCAATATCTTTAATACTTTAATACCTTTCTATGAAATGGCGACCATGCAAAGTAGGTATTTTAAGCCAAGTATAAATGGGAATTATCTCTACTTACAACATACTTACACGGTATCAGTTTCAGCCGTGTATCGCAGTGTGATGCTGACGACATAGAGATGCTGATGCGGCTGATGCCACTTTGTCTGCTGATGGCACCGGTCCTCAGCAAACCTCTGGTTATAATATCTCCACTTACTAAATACTTACATAATACCAATTTCAGCCGTGTATCGCAGTGTGATGCTGACGACATAGAGATGCTGATGCGGCTGATGCCACTGTGTCTGCTGATGGCACCGGTCCTCAGCAAACCTCTGGTTATAATATCTCCACTTACTAAATACTTACATAATACCAATTTCAGCCGTGTATCGCAGTGTGATGCTGACAACATAGAGATGCTGATGCGGCTGATGCCACTTTGTCTGCTGATGGCACCGGTCCTCAGCAAACCTCTGGTTATAATATCTCTACTTACTAAATACTTACATAATACCAATTTCAGCCGTGTATCGCAGTGTGATGCTTACGACATAGAGATGCTGATGCGGCTGATACCACTGTGTCTGCTGATGGCACCGGTCCTCAGCAAACCTCTGGTTATAATATCTCTACTTACTAAATACTTACATAATACCAATTGCAGCCGTGTATCGCAGTGTGATGCTGACAACATAGGGATGCTGATGCGGCTGATGCTACTTTGTCTGCTGATGGCACCGGTCCTCAGCAAACCTCTGGTTATAATATCTCTACTTACTAAATACTTACATAATACCAATTGCAGCCGTGTATCGCAGTGTGATGCTGACGACATAGAGATGCTGATGCGGCTGATGCCACTTTGTCTGCTGATGGCGACGGCCCTCAGCAAACCTCTGGTTATAATATCTCTACTTACTAAATACTTACATAATACCAATTGCAGCCGTGTATCGCAGTGTGATGCTGACGACATAGAGATGTTGATGCGGCTGATGCCACTTTGTCTGCTGATGGCGACGGTCCTCAGCAAACCTCTGGTTATAATATCTCTAATTACTAACTACTTACATAATACCAATTGCAGCCGTGTATCGCAGTGTGATGCTGACAACATAGAGATGCTGATGCGGCTGATGCCACTTTGTCTGCTGATGGCGACGGCCCTCAGCAAACCTCTGGTTATAATATCTCTACTTACTAAATACTTACATAATACCAATTGCAGCCGTGTATCGCAGTGTGATGCTGACGACATAGAGATGCTGATGCGGCTGATGCCACTTTGTCTGCTGATGGCGACGGCCCTCAGCAAACCTCTGGTTATAATATCTCTACTTACTAAATACTTACATAATACCAATTGCAGCCGTGTATCGCAGTGTGATGCTGACGACATAGAGATGCTGATGCGGCTGATGCCACTTTGTCTGCTGATGGCGACGGTCCTCAGCAAACCTCTGGTTATAATATCTCTAATTACTAACTACTTACATAATACCAATTGCAGCCGTGTATCGCAGTGTGATGCTGACAACATAGAGATGCTGATGCGGCTGATGCCACTTTGTCTGCTGATGGCGACGGTCCTCAGCAAACCTCTGGTTATAATATCTCTAATTACTAACTACTTACATAATACCAATTGCAGCCGTGTATCGCAGTGTGATGCTGACAACATAGAGATGCTGATGCGACTGATGCCACTTTGTCTGCTGATGGCGACGGCCCTCAGCAAACCTCTGGTTATAATATCTCTACTTACTAAATACTTACATAATACCAATTGCAGCCGTGTATCGCAGTGTGATGCTGACGACATAGAGATGCTGATGCGGCTGATGCCACTTTGTCTGCTGATGGCGACGGTCCTCAGCAAACCTCTGGCACCTTCTCTCCACGTAGAAGTCTCCATCAGCGAGATATTCACAAAAATGCGTAAGGAATATGCAGTAGTTGATAGTGTTAGTATATTCTTAAACTTCCTTAAGAGTTCCCTTAGTGTTTGGCGTTTCTTAAACCTAGGCATGCAGTTTTCAAAATTCATCGCAGCTAAATTATTAAGTGTGAGATGGATTCTATTAATTTATAACTGATTAAATCAAACTAATTTTTGATCAGTACAAATATTTTTGTTTTTACTTAGAGTATAGTCTATTAGTGAAACGAAATTTACTGTCGCACTCGCACAGTGGTCAGTATTTTCGTTTGGTCAATCAACAATTTTAAAGTTACAGTCATACAACGGTCAGGAGAGTTTCCGAATATTTATATACTACTGTACGTTCAAGTCCTACTGTTTTGCTGATACCGAACTTGTCCGTTTAACACGTAACAACTACGTGGCCAAAACAATACTAAAACTTGTATTTTAAATCATTCTAGTATGTTAAATTAGATGCATGCATTTTAATTAGGAAAGTGGAATTGTTTAATCTTCATTTAGTTTGTCAAACATGTTTGTGCAGCTGCACTGATCTGCGTTGCAACATCAGCAGACATCACAACATAGGTACCACTACATGGGACTATTACATGGGAACCAGACTGCTGTTCGCTGACCTACATACTCGTACATTACAATAAAGCTTTGTAACAGTTTAATAGACTGGTCATTGTACGTGCAAACTTTATTAATCAACATTGAGTTAATGGATACTTAAAGGTCACACTTGTCGTAAGAAACTGTCAGTTGTGACCTTACCGATTTTCTCTGTAGGGAAAGCAAATAGTTTTATTTGAAAAAAGTTTAATAGTAACAAAAAAAGTTTAAAGTATACATAACACGGTTTTTTCAGTTTTCTGAATTCTAAATGTCAATAAACAAAGGAAATAAACTTCATTTGCTAATCAACGCAATAGATTTAAAAAAAAAACAAGAAATTTGGGAAAGGTGAGTATCATTTTGTGTTTTAACAATTAAACACGGAAAATGATAATTTTTAGACGCTAAAGTTCCCAATCAACATAAAATACAGTGACAACACTTCAGCACTACATTATTTTAAAGTGTTTGAGATTTTGAATGACACCGTTAAATCATGTTACTCTAAATCCAGTTTCAGGCTCAGAATTGTTCAACGAGGATGTCAGCTCTGGAGCAAATCTTCTGGAGAACGGAAGGTACCACGAAGGAGACATCATGAGGAGTTCTTCTTCTTACTCCACTTCCGGTGGCCACTCGAGAAGAAAGAGGTCCACAATGAGATACGACGTCGAGTATTGGAAGGACGGGGTCGTACCTATCCTCATCAAGTACGACAGCTTCGGTAGGGTGCGTTAGAGCAGAGTATGTACTGAATAGGATAGTTACTGACACTACTTAATCTTATTAGAGAACTAGCTGTTGTAACCCATGCTTTGCAACGGGAAGATGACGTGAAATAGAAACATTTGATCTTAACATAAATGATAATATTTAGACATCCACCAACACTTTAAAAACAAACTTCAAATCATACGACTTAATTTGATCAACGGTTACGGCTTTTAAATCAGATAAGTAGTGGAAACCAACATCTTGGTATGGGTTAATTAGCCTATTATGAAAATATAAGAAAATATTACCAACTTTTCCAAAAATATTTTCATATACTTGATTTACCTTCGTATCCTTCTTTATCTTTACTTATCCATATTCTTTATTATTGACATTTTAAATTTTAATCAAATATATGAAAATATTTTTGGTTTCAAAAATAATTATAGTTAAATTTAAATAAACAAACTTTATTAGGTACATAAAATCTCCTTCAAACCAAATCACAAAGCCTTCGACCACTCGCAAGTCACAATAAATCATAAAAAAAAAACACAAACATTAGCTGTTATAAACTTTATAAATATGGTTATGAGTTATCAATAGTGTTTCAAAATATATAAAGAAACAATATCTATACTATATAGAGTTGGAAATTATTAATTTACCACATAAAGGTAACAATGCCAACAATGACTTTTGTGAAAATTATATAATTAAAAAACTTTCATCTTTGTATCTTTAATTAATATAGAGTTGGAAATTATTAATTTACCACATAAAGGTAACAATGCCAACAATGACTTTTGTGAAAATTATATAATTAAAAAACTTTCATCTTTGTATCTTTAATTAATACTAGCAGAGTACCCGTCCTTCGTACGGGGTTGGCATATAAGTATCAAATGCTTATAGCAGTTATGAGTGAGGACATGGTTTAAGAAATTTCGGTTCTTTTTGAAGTTCGTTCGCTACGCTCACTCACCTTTAGGTTGGAGCTCGTTCGCTGCGCTCACTTTCCTTCAGGTTAGCTCGTTCGCTACGCTCACTTGCCTTCAGGTTAGCTCGTTCGCTACGCTCACTCGCCTCCAGGTTGAAGTTTGTTCGCTACGCTCACTCACCTTTTGCTGTTGTCATAAATGTAAAAGAAATAATAGTGCTAGTGCTGCACCCTGTTGGTAATCCTTGTAACTTTAATGCTATTGAACATCACAGAACAGAACCAACTTGTTTAATTGAAACAGCTGTTAAGATTCAATAATTTCATTTCTCATAAGGTTAACATGGGAAACTCCAGAGCCACTGGGGCGGAGCCCAAAAGGATTTTTGGGATAAAAATATGCCTATATGTTAATCGGGAATGTGAGCTATCATCATGCCAATAATTTCAGCCCGATCCGACCAGTAGTTTTCGCGTTTACTTTTCCCATACACACACACAGACACCACCTCTTTTTTATAATAGTATAGATAGATAGATTATTAATTTACAAATGAAATTGAGCATTGGATAGAACAAAAAAAAGGCATATGATTATCAAAACATCAAGTACCAAAAATGTTATGGTAAAATTAAGTTTTATTACATCTCTGATTACACACTACAAAAACATTATCGAACAACATGCCATACAAGCAAGTTCTTGTTAATATATGGCTTTGCCCTTTGACAATTTAACACTCACCTCCAATACTTCTGCCAAAAACAGTAAACAGGAGTTCATTGAAGGTCTCTGATTTTTCACAAAAAATAATATCTACCAAATATTACTAAAGAGTAGCAGTAAGTTTTCGAAAGCTAAAACTACAAATGGATTTTCATGATAAATAATTGTTATTAACAAGTCGTAAAAATAATTAGAAAATTAGCATTAACAGACATGTGTTTATTGGATGGATTGAGATTGTGAGCATGCAGAGTTACTAGAATACAATTTTTTTTAATTATCATAAGAGAAATCAATTTTATTGTTAAAGGTTTGATAAGGTGTTTAAGTGATCATTATACAGTTAAAAACTCAAAGTCCAACAAAACCTTTTTCAGATGACGACGAGATAGAAATAATTACCAAGTCGATTAAGAAAATCGAAGATCATACCTGCATTAGATTTCCAAAGAAGCGCAAGAAAGACAAGTCCTACGTAGAGTTGAGGGGAGACCTTGGAGAGGGCGAGTGCTGGTCCTACTTGGGGCGACAGGGTGGCAACCAAACACTTAGCCTAGGGGACGGGTAAGTTTATGTGTCTAATCAAAACTATATTACTGGCACTATCTTGTTGTTGAAATTTTCTTACTAGAAAAATAGGTAACTATTAGTTTTATTAATGACCTACTTGGTATAACATAATAATAAAAATTCAGGGCTTTTGTAATAATTATAAAAATTGAAGTACTGGAACCGTGGAATGTCTATTTTCAAACACCTGAGTAATATTATATAGCCTAACATTAGGATGCATATATTAATTATGTACATTAAAAATTATAATTCAAACAATATTTTTGTCGAGTGTAACACCCACAAACAAAAATCTTAGCCTGCAGCTAGTAAAAATAAGCTGATTGGGCGGGCAGTTGATTTTCGGCCCTAGGGATGTAAATACCTGCTCGGTCCCCAAATTACAATGACAGCTGGCACGGACAGCAATAGGTATCTTACGGCCTCTAATAAACCTTTGTAAAACGGCTAGTGTGGTGAAAATCACTACCTACTCTCAAAATCACTTTACCTTCCCCGTAGCAGCAAACCTTAGCCTTCATTAAATAAAATGTTATTTGAATATAGGTTAAGTATGTCTTGTTAATGGAAAACAGTATTAGTAAATATCAAATCAGACAAATTGAAATCCACATAGCCTAGTCTGCAGGTTTGCTGCGATGGGGTTATTTTTTATGTAACCTATTTAACTAAAACTGTCCACAGGTGTGTAATCTACCACTACGTGCTACACGAGATGTTGCACGCCTTGGGGTTTGTTCACCAACACAGTTCACCGGACAGAGACCGATACATCAAAATACACTGGAGCAACATTGACTCGTCCAGTAGTCAGTAATGTAACCATTTTATGTGTATCTTATGTTAACAAGTGTAATCTGATGACTACTAAGTTTCTCAAGTACCTCATATCCTGTTCACTAATTAACACTTATCACAACTATATTTACCGGTGACTAAAAGAATCCCACGAAAAGATATTGTAAAAAAAAATCATGATATTAACAACTTTAATTTGGCCGATAGTAAATTGTAATTCCTTCATAAAAAAATAACCCAATTCAAAATACTAAAACCATTTAAAATGCGAGTAAATAAACATATTTTTGAATAAAACATATACGTAGTACAATTTATGGTAATGAAACAAGATAATGATTTTTTTTGTTTTAATATATGAGACAAAATTGATTTTTTATTAGACGTTTTTGTTCAATTCTTCTCACGTTTACTCATTGTAGAATAATGGTCTAGGTTTGACAGCTGTTAAAGTGTTCGCCCGCCTTTTAAGTTAACTTAGATGGAGTTACCAAGAAACGAGAAAACCCAAGTGATTAATGCCCCTGAAGATGAGTTTGCGGTCTGATGGCTTCTGCTTGAATATGTATTACAAAATAACGAATTGGGTTTTAAGCCGGAGTTCCCGGTTAAAAGCTTTTTTTTAAGTTTTACTGGCAAAGTTAGAAGTATGGCAGCTGATGAAGGAAGATTATAATATCGAACCGAATTGTTATTATCATTTAAAAAATTCTTTACAATTTACAGTTATGCTATATTATATTTTAAAGGCCGATCAATAGGGTCACAGCCTAACAGCCTAATGGCCTATTTTGGCAGACAAAGCTAAAAATAAATATGCTTTTTGATTCAAAGAGCCCCTTGATTGTCATAAACTATGGAACATGTCCGGTCTTTAGGTAACGTCATTTTAAATGTTATATGTATTAAACCAGAAATACTTGATAAAACACGTATAAATAATTTTTAAATCTCATGAAATTGTGTGGATAGGTTAGGTTTGCGAAGAAAGGGGTTGCTTTAGGGTTCAGCTTTTCCTTTTAACTTCGATTCAAAGTGAGTTTCAAATATACATTCAGAGCACATTATGATGAAAATTAGAAGTATTTAGCCGAACAAATATGCTAACTGCTTGTGAAAAGCCACCTTAGTGTAATTTAGATGCATTCTCAATATTCTTGTTTTATGTGGAGAGTTCTCTGGCTGGTTCGATAAGTATGACTGGAACGAGTTCGATGACTTCGGTCTGGGCTACGACTACTACAGCGTGATGCACTACAGTGCCTACGTCGGCTCCAAGAACGGTAAACCTACCATCACGTCCAGGGTGAGTCGTCATTAATATTACGTCCTAATCATTTTAATGGGCACAATTATATATTTTTTACGTTAAAGAACAATACAATCAATAAAAAACTACTGTACAGAAACAGCTTGATATGATATAATGTTAATGATAAAAAACTAATGCTATTATGTATATTAAAAACCGATGCTATAATTCATCCAAAAATGCATTTTTAGTGAGAAAACTTAAAAATAAAAGAATGTTTTTGCTTTCAGAACAAAAAAATAAAAATTGAAGAAAGAATGGACCTTAGTGAAACGGACATTGAGAAACTAAACATCCTGTACTGCGTTGAGTATGTTGGTATCAAACAGGACGGGTCAAAATATTACAAGTTCTATGATAAGAACAAAAAGTTGAAAAAATAAAGTAGGTAGATGTGTAACTTTGTCTATTTTACTATCCTCACTAACAGATGTTGGGATACTGAATTCATTCTGTGATAATGAACTGTTGGTTACGATGTTACGACGTCAATATACGCATTTTATTACAACCCACAATCCAGCTTGCGTTGCCTTACTGAACACAACAAGAAGACTACATAAACTGTGTGGGAAATATGATTTCCCAGCAATTACGATGTGTTTGTGTTTTAAATTATGCAAATTCTTGCAATACTCAAGTGTATTGATGACGTAATAAAAAAGGACAGCACACATTTCAACTGAAATTGAAACTATTATAGGTCTTACTAATGAAACATCCATTATAGACTATTATAGGGGAAATGTGTACTTTATTTTACATACTTATCTCACATGATCATTGTTATTTCCATTCCTGATATATTGGTACCGTATATTGAATGTTGAATATATTGAATGCAAGAATTGAAATATTATGCTGAAATAGTTGTAGTTTATGTATAAACTCACTATTTTAATACGAATGGAACGTCATATAAACTCTCCATCCAATTATTTGCTTGAGATAATTTCTAGACAGCTTTAAATACTTTCTTAGACGTAATCGGCGATGAATATAATGCGAATTCAGTTAATTTTTACTCGTTTCCAAAGTAAAGAATCTGCTCTTCATCGAAATATTAATTCTATATCAAACTACAATAATCATAACACTATTATTGTGAAAGAATAACCAATACTCTTAGTTTATTTCGCAAATATGGCAAAATCTATATATATATATATGTGTGTGTGTGTGTGTGTGTATGTGTGTGTGTGCGTGTGTATGTATGTAAAGTATTACAGTTAGTACGAAAACTCGAATTGAAATTATCTGATTGTTATGAAATTTGGTACAAATCGAACGTTCGAACGAGTTCGCGAACCAGTATTGGGGTTTTCCCATTTTAATCATCAAAACACGAAATTTGAATTTTCTTTCTTTACTATTTTGTAGGGCCTACAAACAACCAATTTAGTTTGTTGAAGCGTTGTTGTATGCCTTATGGTTACGGAGAAAACTAAAATATAAAATAAAATACTGTAAAATAAAGAGTTCCATGGTATTTTCATGAAGGTAAAGTAAACTGTTGTAGTTTGCTTGTTTATGGTTATATTTGGATCAAATTTGGGGAATCTTTTAATTTCATACATAGCTCTTGAAGTTTTACAAATAACACACATTATTACTTTTCTTGTTTCATTAAACATTATATTATTTAAACAGAGAATAAATCTGACATGATTAAGGAAATCTTTTAGTGAAAATCAAATCAGCAAATGGAAGTTCGCTTAGTCTGCAGGTTTGCTGTGACAGGTATATTTGTATTTTATCCTTATCTTATGGAAGTATAAATCTGCATAATTAGTTGAATTAGGAAATTGAGTAGAATTTTCTACATCGTTTACATGGTTGATGGAAAACCCAGTCTACTAAGTAAGTAACTCCCAAATCAGTTTCATATTATCCTTATTAACTGTTAATTAATGTGGTATTTAACTTAGCATCTTAAGGAATCGTTCTTTTCAACTTTGTCTTGACTAGTGATATGGATTTTGTATACATATAACTCACATTCACGTAAGGTATCAGTATATTTTTTTTCATTCCATTCTTAAATTTATGAACTAACTCCTCCTTAAAAAATTATACATTTATAGAACCATACATATAAACTAAACTGAAAAATTTAAACCTTCAATTATTACAAATATATTTCATCTGATAAAAGACTAAAAGAAAACGGAAAGCACTTTAGGAAGTCAATACGCTAAGTAGCAATAAGGAGATGGATGAAGACATTAAAGTCTAATACATATTCAAACACCTTGTCTGTCGGGAAACCAGCTCATTTTAGCCGACCATTTACCATGATGCTTTCTCCGGAGAAATAGGCCGTTTTTTCAATTTTGTTGATCGGCTACGAGAACGTATATTATGCACATGCAGTAATATTATATTGCATATAACGTGCAATATGATTGCAGTACATATAATCTTTCTGCATCATAACATTCTCAGGATTTACATTATATTTAATTATGTTACCTATTTCCTTATTCAGTCATTTAAAATACAAGTTAAATTTGAGTTACTTGTTAAGTTATTTTAATAATTTTAAAGAAAAACCTTGACTTTATTGTATTATTTACAGCTGGGTAAATGTTTTATACTTTTATGCATGGGAACCATTACTAGGTCTTCTTTAGGTATGAAGCGGATGATCTATGAATTATTACACAAATATTTTTGCTTTATAACGTTACAGGAATTTACAAGTTAGGTTGTAAGCAAAGGACGTAAAATGTATAATACTAAAGATGTGTTTGTTGATAAAACATATATTGTAAGTAATTGAATACTTAAGAGTCAAGGGACGAAACACAAAAGATATGCTTACAGCCTACCTACACAATGTTTGGCTAACTGTCTTTGTGTGCATACCTAAGACCCGACACACCATACTCAGCTTTATCTCTAACAAATAGGCTACTTGTGAGTAAAAAGCAGGACTGATTAAATAAATGCTTTTTTTCAAATGATTTTGGTGAATGATTTGTTTGTGGAATACACACAAAATATGGTGCAATCATTACAAAGTCAACAATTATTTAGAATCAATTAAGTTCAAGCGTTACTTATATATATTGTTCAAGCGTTAGTCATATTTGTTCAAAAGCTATTTTGATCAAAACATTTGATAGAAAATACGTAATAGTTATTATGTTAATGAAAGAGATATACATAAACCAATTATTTGGTCAAATTAATAGAATCTAAAGAATAAATTGCTTTCTTTTATTATATGCACTTATAGATTGCAGTTAATTGTTTACTAACTGTAATAGACCAACAAATTAAAACACAACCAAATCGTAATGTAAGCACTAAGTTCCAATATGCAGACATTGTTTGGATGCAAATTTACTGTATAAATCAATCAAATCAACGTCAATACCTTGCTTTACAATAGAAGATGTCATTAGAAGTTCTGCGGAAACTAATATTTTAACTTGCGTATAGAAAGGTCCTAAACATCTTAAGATTTTGTTTTATATTAGCAATGATATTGACTTTGGATACTGATGCAGACAACCTATCCATATGAGCGAGGATTTCAAATCACCCCTACAAATTTCCTAAAGAAACATCATTGTAAGTGACTTTGGTATGCAGAACTAAATTCTTTAGAAAACGTACAAGAGGCTTCGAAATTGGAATAATTTAGGACGAGATTCCAAATTATCAGGGAATTGTACCGATAATTTAAATTTGGAAACGATTTCACGATAAGTCTATCAATCGGATAAAATAAAATAAATCAAGGAATGTCAGTGTATGTGTGCTTTCTAATGATTATGTTTCAAAATTTGTTAAGGTCAAAATGGCAATAAAATGTATTACATTTTAGCAGGATTATTATTTAGTAGGCATATAATGTGTATTTCCTCAATAGGCCTGTCAATTGTCATTAGCAGGGAACATTATTCATATGTAAATTTACTGTAGAAATTAATCAAACCGACGACAATAGACGTGTAGAGATAGCTCTACAATGGGCAATGATATTCACCTGAAAACTATTATGTCCTCATATTATTGGGAATTTAAAAAACTCTAAGACACAATAGATTTTCTTTATACGATTTGAAACATCTTTAAATAGAAATAAAGAAGTGAAATTTTGACAGAGTTGATCTCTCTAAAATGTTTAAAAAAATTAATTTATATTAAAATAAAAATAATAATATAAACGCTTATCAGTTATAATTGTGGAGCTTAGTGAATACACCTCTGACATGTCTCTACGTGCAGCACGTCACCAGCTGTAGCTGACAGAATACATCTCAGTGTCATCTCACGTCTACATGCAAAATATTCTCCTTGAGCCCGACAAGTTTATATTGGATAACACGTTGCTCCTGAAACATGCTATTTCCTGTTAGGCTATAATGTTAGTTTAGGTATGATTGAAGATAAGTAAAGAGATATTCTATGATACAATATTATTTTATTTAAATTAAAGGCTTGTTTTGTGTTGTGAAATTAAATAAGTTTTGTTTAAAATCATCACGTATTAGAGAAAAAAATACCGTCGCAATTTTACAGGAGACTAATTATTTTCTAAATTCCCTTTTAAAGCCCTGCAAAAGTCCAGTATACCTATTTCATGAACATGGAGTAATTGATTCGTGGAATAGATGTTGTGTCAGGTTTTAACACTTGTATTAATACATTCTTCATGAACGGATTTTATTCGTACACAGTTCAAGTTTGAGTGGTCCACACCATTATAAAGTATCGTTGTGTGAAAGATAACAATTTTACGAAGGTACAAATTAAGAAAAGTATGATCAAATTAATCAATAAACTATACTGATATATTTATTCATACAAAACCACTCCAAATTGTGAATTAAATTTTTATTTCTATTAATTTTTATTTACATACTCCTTTGCAACTAGGTCTTGGTTCAAAAACATAGTACGATATTCTAATAACAAACAGATATATTGATTGGTTATGCTTAACGTAGAGAAACTAACACACACATCATGAACCGTGTGATTTATTTAGCATCTACTGGAAAAAATTACATATTTCATCCATAGATTATTTATCTTAAATAAATCCTCTAAACTAACAACCTTGTATCATAAATATTCAAAAGTAAGAACCAAATATTTTCGTTTTGCGGTTTTACAATGCAATTAAGACAGTTCTTAGAGCAGCCATTAGCATTTATATTAACATCTTCAGTTATGTAAATAATTTAATATTCATAACTGGACTACACTACCCAATAAACTGGATTTCAAAATTTGCCTTTTTTTAAGTAACAGCTTGAAAATAATTATTATTGATTCGATGTAATGAGAAACTTACTTGGGTTTTAAAGAGTTGTGCAGTTAGTTGTAGGCAATGATATACAACGTTGGTTGTAGGGAGTTTATGCAG